TATCGGTGTCCAAATTCAGACTGAAACCTTCACTACCAGACCCACCGAAACAATTTTTTTTCTTGATAGGGTCGTCTTGAAGTTGCTTTCGTTAAAGCACAATGGACACTTTATCTCCACCAATCCACAGTAATCAACAAGTTACTTTGTCATTTACGATAAGCATCAATAAATGGATACTGAGATGTATTATCAAGTCACGCAAGCTGAGGTCTTGTGCCACTTGGTCTTGTTATGCAACTTATACTTTGCCATCCATCTATTCCATGGCCGCACCCATTATCTGTAAGATAATGGATACAGATAGAGTTTTCATAAAATCTAACGATCAAGGAGTGTGAAATTTATTGTCCATATCCACCACAGCCACTAGTCGTAAATGAATTTGATTCCGGGTAGCATACCTTTTTTACCAATGACAATAAAAAGTCATTTTGGATCAGTGTTACAAGCACCATTAGGATAGGATTTATCTGGGGGGAGCCAATTATTTGTTTTTCAGAAGCATTGACTTGGATGGTTGGGAATGTCGTAACCGATCAGCGGTCATGTGAACCACCCTCGGTGGGAGTAGAGTTGCAATCCTCTTCTGGGATTGAACCTTGAAACTCCCAGGGGTGATCAGAGATGCGGTGGCGAGCGTATTCCTAGATGGCGAATTCAATTGAAGTCTGGTTATTTTTTGCATGACCACTGGTGTTAAACTTTAGTTATCTATTCAACCTTTCACACTTAGTAATAATTACCTGCTAATTAAGGAAACAATACCTTATAGCAATTGATTATTAATTCCTTACTGTCTTACACAAGTCAAGTCTGCAACTGCAAGTAGGCCTACTAATAACAGTAGTTTGTCATCTGCTTTCATTGAAATGAGGGAGCTTGTGAATATTTAAAGAAATTGATAACGGCCGCACTATCACTCACCATCAACGCAAACAGTGTCAGCAAACAGTGAAACACATGTAAGATGGCTTCTGGACTTGACACCAAGCAGTTCTGCCAATGCAATAGATGATATCCGCATTGCGCGACGTTCCGGATCTTTTGAAATCAGTGGAATATAACTGAAGATCCATTTCGTTGTCTAAACTATACGTACAGCCAACGGAACAATACGAAATAACCATTTTCAACAGACAAACAAAACGGAAACGTATAATCCGACTTGCAACTGACAGGAGCCAAATGGACGTTTTTGTTTTATTGCCGTCCAGTAACAAAGTCACGTGACCCGTGCAAGTCCTCTATACACCTCAATGGCCCCAACTCTAAACTCTCCGCGGTTCTTGAGTATGGCCGCTACCACCAAACATCAGTAATACCGTGATTTCCCGAAAATAAGACTGGGTTTTATTACAATTACAAAATAACACTAGTGCTTATTTTCGGCAATGGTATATATTTTCATTTATCAAAAACAAAATTACAATTAGATGATTACGAGATATTTTAAATACACAAAATAAGAAAACCGATATCTATTTACTTATTAATAACATGTTTTCATTCAAAATAACTTTGTTTGTTTCTATTAATTGCTTATCGCCTAATAAATTTCAAACAATAGCGCTCATAAAATTGACCCGTCTTTTATGCTAGAGCAGCTAGTCTATCTACAAACACACACGCACACACACACACATACATACATACATGCTGATAATGGAGTCGAAATAAACTTATTATTATTATATTATAACTGCAAAACATAGATTATCAATCATTTAAAACGTGTAGGACAGAATTCTTGCTATCGACACGAGGCGCAGTTCTTACCACTTCATGGCAGCTCCTGCACGAACGAACCGCGGCAGCTCTTGCCATGGTTTTATAGCGCTATTCTGTATTCAGTAATCAGTATTAACGGTATATCACAAACTAATGTACCAAATTTAATTGATCATGCGGAAATATATCTACTTAAACCCTAACCCTAACCCCAAATCCATCAACACTGTAATCCATAAGAAAAACGTTCCAACTTACTAAATATTTGTCACCATAGGGACAGCCCTGTGCTTACGGCCCGCCTGCCGCGGTTACGGCAGCAAAATTTTACCTGCCATTGGTTTTCAATTTGCTGCCGAGGGTAACGGCAGCTTCGACATTGGTTTTGTGGCAGCTTAAAAGTCAGTCGCCATAGGTTTGGCCGTAGCGGCCATGGTATGGAAATACCGCCATGGTTTTGCGGCAGCTGCAGACGCCATAGAATACTAAAACTGCACTTGATCGACACGGTCAATAATTTTTTCATGGGTAGGGCTTATATTCAAATCATTTTTAAATTCCGGCTAGGTCATATTTTCAGGGTATGTCCTAATTTCGGGAAAACACGGTATTAGGTACTCTAATATTAGGGTTTCAAATTTCAAACATTTTACATATAAATTTAACTTTAAACTCCTAAATCAATATTATAAGTTGAATATTACCGTTACTTTTTTATTATATTATCAACTATATTTCTTGGTTGAAAATAATAAATCTTTCTTAACCTCTGAAACTGCTCGGCCCTAATTACTACATTACAGTATTAAGAATCGGAATTATGACACCCTTCGAGAATCAGGAAAATTACAGTAATAAATAGTTTACGGTTAGTCAGAACTAAATAAGTATTCCTGCACGGTTCACAGCATCAACCACTCACAACTCACAAGGTGTCATGTGACAACTTGAGGTATGTTTTTGATATTTGGAGGCCTTGCCTTGGAAGTGCGGTAGCTTGAATATAATAATAAGTATTGAATACATTTGGAATTATTTATATTATATTTGAATTTACGATATGCTAATTATGCCCAAATGTCCCAAGAAACCCACATATATTCTACATTATTTTTTAAGGGAGACTGTAAGGAGACTTTCAATGAGACTGTAAAACAAACAGGGGAGGGTGGGACATAGGGAACAGTAAAAAATCAGTTCTCACACTCATATACTATATCCGAAATCAGGTCTGCGGTTTCTATGTTTGAATCCGCCCTTCGGTGAGTTACAACGTTCCCCCAAACGGACAACGGCCGTGTAGAGTGACGCAAGTTATTGGATGAAATTGGTTTTGGGATGTTGAAACTAAAATTTTACCGTTTAGGTTTTTTTGTTTTTCTACTTTAGCCACCAACATGACAAAACATCGTATGATATTTTTCCAACTATAGTCCCCTGTAAAATATTCATAACGTTGGCGTGTTAATGTGCCTTCCTAATCTCGACGTGGGACTGTCTAAAAATATTTGTCTCCTATGGGGAACAATGGGCCGGGGTTCAGTGGGACATGCTCCACTGGGCACATTTTGACAGTGTTTGCTCCATTATGTGCTTAGAGAGAAGCCTATAGAGATGCGTTATGTTTTGTGTAATATTAAGGTACCTTTTGGCCCATGGCCCAATATGAAATATATTCTAGATTTAAAAATATTTTTCAGATATAGCTTCGAAAAAGTAAATAATTTGCCTTTTACCGGAATTATAAATTTTACTTGTTAATATATAAATGCTGGTTTTATTTTAAAAATTACACCGTCGTTTTTTGTTTTTTTTTAATGTGTCCCAGGGACTGTCTGAATGTGCCCCACAAATGGGGTACAGTGGGACACTTAACAGACGTTTTTTAACGCATTTTACTGACAAGATGTGTGTCGCTAGGGAATTTCTTAGTCGATGAATAAATACTACATTTTCCCCTTTTGGCATTAGCCCTGCAAAGTAAAATGAAAGTGCAGAATATATGACTTGAAATATGCAAAAGAAAAAAAGTGTCTCAACCTTCCTCACTTGCAGTAGGAATATTCCGTGGATGGAACATTTGTGGAGCGAATAATCTGTATACACCATCCTGTACAACAGGTGTGCACCAAAAATCAGCAACTACGATAAAGACGGTGCTCTAACAAATAATGCCTAAACGCGGGCACGGCAATTAGGAAATAATAGTCAGAAGCGGAAGTGCCAGGGCCACGGAATCTGGGAAAATTTAAACCCTCAACAAGAATAGTTGATGCCAACTTTTTACCGATAACCTCAACAATGTAGTTGTATTTGCTACTCAAACAATTGTTTCCTTGGTCGTACCGATACTACTTCATCGTGTCAAACGGTTTTCAATAGCTATGATTCATGGATACGATTAACAATTTTTATATAAAACTTCCAGTCCTTTATAAAAGACTGCCAATAGCTGGCAATTTGACTACGACATCATCGGAAACCAAACTTCGGCGTATTCAAGTCTCTATTCATTGTTTATTGAAAATGCCTTGTGGACTTTGATGTATATATTTTCACTTATATATGTTGTAATTATAATCATATATATCGAATCGAACTTCAACTAATATTCTAATTGTGCTAACATAAATTAATAATCTTACAACATCGATTTTTGATAAAACCTCCCTTTTCGCTGCTTTGAGAAAGACCTGCCAAATGTTCCCTCATTTGGAAATGGTAGACAAATCGACTACACGAGATTTGCAAAGATCTAATGTTGTTGCTTCTTCTGTTTTATATTGATATATCTGTTAACATTTTAATGGTCATTTTAAAGGGTCGGATAGCATTAGTCACACCATTGCCTTCAATCGTCACATTTGTGTTAGGATGTATAGAAAAACGAGTACTCCCAAAGTATGAGAACCAAAATGGCGGACACCAGAACTTAGTATGTGTACCAGGTTAGGGTTACGCAATAATTTCAGGAACAAATACTACGGGAGACACTCGGCTAGCGCCCGAACTCGTATAGAACTAAAATAAAGAAAAATGGAATAAAATTATGGTCCAAGCTGGTACACATACTACGTTTGGTGTCCGCCATCTTGGTACACATACTTCGAGAGTACCGAAAGAAGGAACGTCACGAATGTTGTATTTAAATTTCGAGAGAAGCTTTATATAACGTAATGCAAAAGATTGCATTCAGTCAAAAAATAAAAGTTGCGAGGTGATAATGTCAGAAAACCGTATACTTATCAGACTAGTTTATGTATCTATTTCAGATCGAAAAAGGTGGGGATGCAATTTCCTCGTCAACAAAAAATAGTTTGGTATTGTGAATCAATCTTTACTGTCTACAACACCCGAACCTTTGAGACCATAATATTGAAATAGCAAAGTCAGTTATACCGAATGAGCAAGCGACTTTAAAAATAAAATACTTTTGAGGATATGTTTGAATTTGTACTAATTCAGTTATAAAGTATAGCACTTTAAACTTGAACGCCACAAAATCAGATAAAACCAATAACCATACTACAACTAAATTATACTTCAAAACTATACTTCATTCAATGAAACAACCTGCAGGTAGACGGCTGATCAAAAATTTTTACATTTTACTGGAATTTTCTCAGAGACTTCTTTATTGAGTCTTTAAAAGTGAAATACGAACGAATGTGGTCGACTTGGTGTATATATATAAACTCTAAAGTGAGTAAAGTCTATCACTTCACTTGGTATACTTATTTAGAATTTTACTTCGTAGCAATAGTTGTTAAGTAATGGCAGCAGCACGGAACCTCGAAATTAACAAAAAACTGGCTGTGTAGATTGAAGATCAAATTCGAAAGTGACAAACACAAAGCGCAATCGCTTGGGGCATTTGACCTTGGCTTCTAATTCAATTCAGTTATTTCAAACTAACTTCCATTGCAGATTATATGCATGCATTTGCAATGAAAGTTATTTTGAAATGACTAAATTGGATTAAAATAAAATTGCTCCGATTACTATTTACGTTTTTATTATAGTTTTTGATTTTTGAACTCATGTATATATCGTTCAAGCAATGCATTTCACGAATTAAATTACGAAAATATTCTACTATCTTCTTGATATACAGGTTAAATTTATAGACTGCAGTGTGGAATCGTACCAGGACGTCTAATACGAGGTTAGCTGGTATTTAGACTGTTGAAGTTTTCATGTAAGAGAAATATATTTGAATATCACCGACCAATCACACAAGAGATCGGACTTGTAAACCAAGACCCCAATATGAATTTACCTTCACATCCGATCTCCCGTTTACTGGCTTATTTAGCGATATCAATACTTTGCCACACCATTTTCGGAAAATCTTTGACATCAACAGACATGCGCTTGCGCATGCTCAAAAAACGAGATTTTCTCTCAACAAAGAAGGATATTTTACAGTCATATCATCGACAAAAAAGACAGGTAGGTTGCGGATGGAATGGTAACCATCCCCTATTTATTATGCTGATATAATATATTTTGAATCATTTAAACAGTTGCCACTACGCAGCATTCCCGTCACAACTCCAGTATTGAACGATAAAGTTCGAAGGAAGAGATATACGACTGTCGTTTCAAAATGGACAAAGTTGAGAATAACCTATTCGTACGTAAACAAATTTTTGTACTGTTAGGCCTACTGTTATTTTTGTACCGTGGTTAAAATTCAAATCAGGAGTGGATCGAGATTCTATACGGATTATTCGTTTTTATAGCTTTTGGTCTGACTCGGCCGAGTTAATAGCAATTCGACGTAATGTGTGTTATGAGTGATGTAACTACTTATCATGCTGATTAGTTTTTATGACAAAAGGTGTAATTTAATATGCACATATTTGGATAAGTTTCACTGGATCGGTGGTAGAGTAATTGGACCGTGAAATCACGTGTCGGAGTAATATTGGTCAATTTGATGATAATCGTTATTCGCGCTTCATAATATTACCCGCCGGATTTGGATTTTGCAGCTAAGGGCGTGAGACCGGAATCTCAAGCCTGATTGTTTACTTTAGTCCGATCAATCTGATTTTGTTCACAAACTCCCTCCCCTTTTACAGAATCAACAATTTCACGACAAAGATTGGCAAAGACGGGACACATCAAGCCATCGACAATGCATTTAACGTTTGGGCAAAACATTCGCCTCTCAATTTTGTCAAAGTCAATAAAGACGATAATCCAGACATAGTTATCCTGTTTGCCAGCGGTTCTCATGGTGACCGGAACGACTTTGATGGAAAGGGCGTAACCAAAACACATGCTTTCTATCCCGGACCTGGAATAGGAGGTGATATCCATTTTGACTCTGAAGAACCCTGGACGATTAACAAAGCTCCATATGAAGGTAAAATTTAATTTTTGGATTGGAACTCGCTATATTGCCCCTTTCATTGTACCGGAACTATTATGTGCTGTATGAGTACGTCATTACTTATGAATTCATCGTCATTAATTCTGATTATGAATCACCCTATCGTCCGTCCCTTCGATTGAATGACGAACATCCGCATAAATGAGCCTGCAAGCGGAAGGTGTACTGCTGTAAACCTCAAATTCACTTTTTGCAAGATCAGCAAGATCGGTAAATATTTGTTGATCTGAGTTGATTTTATCAGGATCGCTGTTCCGAAAAGTTAATTCGTTGGTTTGTGATACAGTTTTATCTATTCAAGGAATAAAATGCGTCTTACATGTCCGCGGTCGGTAGTTGTAAAACTACTTCGCAGACCGACCATACACTTTAATCACTTGATTAATTATAAACCAAGTTAGATTTTTAAGTTGTCTGTATAACTAAATAAAACATACTGGATACCAGGAGTAGGATTTTTGTTTAAATTGTATGCACTAGGAAGAAAAAACTATTTTTGATCTCCCGATTCATACCTAAATAAATCATCGACAACAAAATATACTATTTAAACGGTTGTATCTTGAATAATAATAATCTTGGATAATAAATATTAAAATAAAAATTGTAAAGTCCATTTTTTTATTTAAGTTTTTATCAGTTAGTCGGTCTTACTAATGCTGTAAGTAAAATTTGTTTAGTGTAGTGCACGCGCGCTGATTTGGATACTCATATGTAAGTATCATGTTTTAAAAGGATGTTTGAATTTACTTCGATCTTCTGGTATCAAAGAGAAGTAACATAGTATCATTCACAGCAGGGCTTCTTGAACATGTTTTGCTGAGGAAGCCTACATTTTTATTTAAAGTCGTATGGACCTCCGTTCATTGGAGATATCCATTTTAAATCACCTGCTGTTGTAATAGAACTATTTGATTTTGGTGTACTCAGTATTATTACCATATTATTTTGGACTGCCCGGAAGGTATGCGTGTGGCTCTTGCTTGTCGAGTTTGACCTTTCCATTTCGTTTGGTTCGGGTACTAAGTTTGCATATTCATTTCGATTCCAATTTTAAAAGATTCTATGATCAATTCTACTTCGTTCAGCTTTTATAAAATCCTCTGTTTTTCGAAAAGGATTACTTTTTGCGTTTTCAGTCGCATTATCCATCAAATAAAATCTCAATATTTCTTTCATATAGGTGTATGTATATATTGTTGATCTGATATGGCAGAAATCCTGCATTCATCGATAATTTATTCAAACATTTTGCAGGTATTGATTTATTCCTGGTTGCAGTTCATGAAATCGGACATGCACTTGGACTGGGACATTCAAGCGATATCAATGCAATTATGGTTCCTGTATATCAATACCATGATACATCTAATTTTCAACTTCCACAAGATGATATAAATGGAATTCAGTTTCTTTATGGTAAATCAAAACTGTAGTAATGTTTCATTTCAGTGCTTTATCTCTGCGATGCAGAGGCGAAATTTGTAAAACAGTAACCGCGGGTTCGATCTTCGTCGCTGTTTTCTTTGGACAACATTTTCTTGACCATTTTAAAATTTTGATAAAAAATTATGTCACAGTTCGACGTTTATGTGAAGAATTACTTGTTATATATTCTGACCTTTGATTGGAAAATATGGAATAAAAATGCGTCAAGCGGACCACAGGAAGATTGCGGTCATTTGGAAAATAGTAGCTCTTTATAGATTACGTCGTATAAATTTCTTCATTTCTCACTATCATAAATTCATTCCCCAGGAAGCAGAAGAACTCAACCTATAGACCCGTAAAAAAGCGTGTGAAAGTGTAACTCAATATCGTCTTGCACTGTAGGGAAACCCTCGCTTTCGCCGTCGTCAACAGCAAAAGAGTTGGAGAGCGTGATTACAACCCCGACTTCTATCATTACAACAGAAAGAGCGAAAAGAATTCCAAGGTACAAACCAAAAACGTATTTTTCTTTTGCTTTTTGAAAAACTGTTCGTTTGGAAATCTTCACTGTATTACTTCACTGGCATTGGCTGAGTTACGTAGGATAGAACATTCATTTGTAACATTTTTTTTATGATCCGAATTTTATCAGAAATGAATAATCTCTCTAGTCTACAGTATTTAGGATTTTTTATGATTCATGGCATGTACTTTGGAACTACGTCACCAAAATCGCATTAAAAGCAAGATTATAAACGTCGAAAATCGTTTTCATTTCAGCTCCACAAGAAAACTATCAACACAATCAGCCCCATTTCCATCTGACATCTGTGACATCAAGAAATTCGATGCAATCTCTTTTATAGAAAACGATTTATACGTCTTCAGGTAAAAAGAATATAACTCATGAGTAATCAGCCACGCGTCAGAAATTCGATGTGAAGAAAAAAATACGAAACATTTGACTTTGTAGGTTAGAGATCCCCGGCCCGTATCTTTGTTAATCAAGTTAATGTTTGAGGTGAGCTAAGTTATCCAAGGTATAAGAAATTTGGTGGGTTATACCAAATGGATTAGATTGCAGTCCCATATATATTCTACGTTTGTATCCCTTCTTAGTTGTTATTCCAAAAATCGTACTGTATAGCGCTCAAATGTTTTTGTTTATCGGTTCATGTTGGCAAAAATTCTAATAAGCACTCATACTTTAGAAATACGTTCTCGCGAGTACGAATACGTCGACAGGCAATTCAATAATTGAAATTTCAATAACAAAACAAAAAATGCCTAAAATCATATCCAGGAAAAAATATTTTATTCAAAATATAGCTTCCAGCATCTCGCCCGTTGTAGTCGGCAAAGTAAGTACATTCCAGACACAAATTGCCTGTGAGTTCATAGCATTCAACGCTTAGCAGAGTGTCAATTTCCATGCTGTGTGCACACTTTATTCGTAAAGATGTGGATTTTGAACGCTGTTAATTGTTTTTGCGAAATAAAGCAAGAACAAAAAACAAAATAATATTATAGATCTGATATGTGTTAGTATGTGACGTGTTACCGCGGAGGTGTTTATTTGAGAGGACGGTTGGGTCCAAACTCCAAATATCCATTCCGGTTGACAAGGTCACAAACGGGCTCTGTGGTTCAAGAAACGCTGAACCAACGATAAGCCTCATGTACTTATCTTTTTTTATAGTTCGAAATATATGTGGCGAAAGTCTTTAACCGAACAGAAAGCTATGGGGCCAGTTTCTATTGCCAGTTTGTGGCCGGCAGTAAAATCAGGAGTATCCGCGGTGTTTGAAAATCCTTCGGATCACACAATCGTCGTCATAAAAGGTGTGTACACTCTCACCCGTATTTTTGTCGCGGAATTTAATCATTCCCGATCAAATCCCATGCTCACCATCTCAGGGTGTAAAAAAAATGGGTTGAAATTACCAATCTGTTTTGGAGTGAATGCATGAAAAAACTTTATATGATGATCAACAAAAAACGAGTTCACAAGTGCCCAATTTCGTAATAGCTCTCAGAGTTATTTTGTTATTAGTCATCAATAGATTCTGTGAATAAATTATGAACAGTATACAATGATGAGTTATGATATCACAATTGTTAATTGTATAAATTGTTGGAATTTAATTGAAAAGTTCTCGTATTTTCCTTAAATTTATAGACAGACATGACAATTATTTGTTCGAAATAATGAACATAAATACGTGATACTATTAATTACGTCATATATTATGTTCGCAAAACCAGTACCTGATGTTCAATTTGATATTTGTATACTAACTGAACAAATTAACTTTGATAAAATCAATATTTTTTACAGGAAAAAAATATTACGAATATGATGTACTAGCGCCTCGATTTTCACGACGATTGAAAAGGATGGGAGTATTTGAAAATGATATCGATGCTGCCATATGGTGGTACAGAATTCATGACCCATATTTATTCAAAGGTAAGATGATACTGTTTGCCTTCGTATAAACACTTTTTTATGCATTGTTCTTCCACTGACGATCGCCATTGAACAGAATATTATGCTGTTAATATCGTTGCGTTAAAACTCAGTTTTTTTCATTCTGTCAAAATTTAATTCAAAAGTAATTAGACTTTTTCAGACTTTTTTATTTGTAGGAAATTATTTGTGGTGTTGCAAAATTGAACCAAAAGAGCTATTTTACACTACTTTCCGAAGAATACCAGTAATTGCGGTATTAGATTACCCTACAATATATATATAAATAATAATCGTTGAATATTGGGATTAAAAAGTACTTCATTTAAAAAATGCTTGGTTATACAACAACAGCAGGGAAGCATACGTAGTTAGTGGCCACGTTGTTACTGTCCCGCTTCAATTTTGTCTTCACAAGTTCCTGATAGTAACAGTTGTACTGTATTATAGGACATAGAGTTTGATTTCGCAAAATGAATTGTGTTTTCTTTATTGTTCAATATGCGTAATATTTCACATAACATTATATATACATACTTTCCTGAATTGTTCGTGGTCAACTTAATAATTTCATTACATACAGGCGATAAATACTGGAGATTAGAGAACGATCGCGTTGCCGCTGGGTATCCGAAAAATATAAGTGTGTGGGAAGGGGTTCCTGCAGATTTGGATGCTGCTTTCGTTGGACCCGAAGAAGGCGGTATGTGTCTAATTATGCATATATATATCACGCCATGTGTTAGCATACCTTGAAGGGTTGAACATAACTATTGCAAGCTGAAGATTGAATATCTCAGTTCAAACGTCACTCAGGGTTTGATGAACTATATAAGTCATGCTGAATGAATAACGATGTCGATTTAGGGAACAACTAACTGTGAAAAAACGATTAGTGTTTTATTTGTTTATTTATTTTCGTTTTAAAATTATAATATACGAGTATCCAGAAAAAAAATCTGACAACGAATTAAAATTTTGTATTTCATGTTATATTGTGCCAATTTTGTTTAATCTGAGGATAAACTATCATAATAAACATATATATTATTTTCCTTTTTCAGGGGTAAATCACACCTATTTTGTCAAAGGCAACAAGTACTGGAAATTCCACAACCTAAAGGTCGAAGTAATAGATGAATTTGACAACTTTGCTCATGATTGGTTAGGTTGCGGAAACGTCTTGGTACAACCATCACCACCTTCAACGGAAATGTCCATAGCCCTTCCCTCAATTGCAATGCACTTTCTTGGCGCGTTGGGAGTGTACTAGATACACAAGAGAATAGCCATACACAAGAGAAGATGGGGATGTAAGAACACACTCTTAACAGCTTAACTCTGTTCTATTGTCTACTTTACTTATATCACCAAGAACCATTCTTTGTGACGTACTATCCACCCTCCTGTATAGTATATGTCATTCCCTCCCACAATTGTTTTAAAACAGTAAAAAATATCGAAAGACTTCAAAATAAAACCAGAATCTACTCCACTGTACCGAAGAAAATAATTCCCATAACGATGTTTTATGCCGATTTTTAACAGATATTGAAAACATTCTAAGAAAATTAACACTAACTGATTAAATTTACGCTATAAGCACTAAAATATCTTATAAATATCAAATATTAAAAAAAAAGGATAAAAACCAGACTAGAATCCATCCCCTGATCATAGAGAATATTTTCCGATAACATTGTTTTATGTCAATTTTCAACAGCTAATAAAAACGGTAAAAGAATTATCATCTACAGCAGGGTGGTCCAAACCCAGGCCCGCGGGCCACATGTAGCCCGCCGCTTCATTATCTGTGGCCCGCGTCACATTCGGAGAGTAAACAATAAATCGCATTTCGTGTTGTTTTGTACTAAAATTACCCAGAAAAATCTTTTGACATACTGTTACATCACTAATGTCACTGAATTGACTAGTGTTATGGCTAGCCGAGGCAAATAGCGAAGTTGGATGATGTGCTTGGCAGTCTAAATTATTATCTGGCTTTCTATCTTTTTGGTCGGGAATATATGCTAACAATATAGGCATCATAGAAAACTGAAAATCGAATGCGGATTCTATTAGCCTGGGATGGCTATGTCTGTGTTTGCACAATAAAAGTGTTTGTTTTGTATTGCACCTTTTATCTATTCTTGGCACTATTGTGGCCCGCGAACAATGAAAAAATAAAAGTTGTTGCCTGCGGAGCCGACAACCTTGGACCACCCTGATCTACAGATTGATATCTCATGATGAGTAGTCTACTAAAGTATATAAACATAAAATATTTAGGAATCTATCCTGAAAAAACTTAAAATAAACGGGATGAGCTCCTGTGAGTAAATGTACCTATACATGGGTGCAAATGTCCACGGATGCTAAATCTATTGGTACGAGTGTGGCGGGTGTAGAGCAAAGGTTCTTAAACCAGGGTCCGTGGACCATAAGGGATGTGATAACTAGTTTAAATGGATCGGTTTAGGACCAGTAAAAGTTTCAGATATGAAAATGTAGCAATACCCGGTACAAGATAAGCACAAATTTAAAAACATTCTGAAGAATATCTGATATTTTAGCTTGTTGCTTGGTTTACTCCTTTTTAGGTCAATTCGTATCTAACATAACAGTTATAGCAAGTGCTCACTAATTTTGTCCTGTTGTTTAACGAAGCGTAGGCCTACATGTGACGTCACAAACAATTCCCTGGGATGTTGGATGGGAGAACGTACGAGACAGTTTATTGCTGGTTTTGCTTTTAAACGCGAATATAGCAATGAAATGGTGCAAAAACTGGTGCACATATATCTCAACCTTGCTTGTTTCTGCATATATGATTGTGTCGAATAGTCCCGGAATACCGATAAATCGAATGATTTGCCATTAGTCAACATAGGCTACTCCACCGTTTGCGTTACTTTTGACCAATTTATAGCTTTAAACTAGGAAGTCGAAACCGGTTGGATGTCAAGGAAGGTTGTTCATGTCAAGGAGTCACACAAACACAACAGCATTCTTCACATTAAAGTTGCGGCTCTATTTATTTTCTATTGTATCTACTACTGTTTTCAAGCATGTCACGGGGTTCGGCACAGACCAAAAAAAAATGATAAAAAAAAGTTTGAGAACCATTGGCATAGATGTGGATCTATGCATGCACAAATGCCAAGGGTGCAGTATACGGGTGCAAATGTGTTGTCACCTTCTCTAGCATAAGCATCATTGATTCTACTTTTATATTTAGAAACTGAGCTAGCATGTGAAGAACGTAAAGTAAGATATGTAGGGGTATATTTTTTTTATCAAAAAATGTCTTAAAATACGACTGGTAGTTGCTACTTTGAACAGCCCCGAAAGTGATTTTATTTGACGTCATGGAGAAGTAAAACTTCTCAGGCAAATTGTGTTAAATAATTCATGCCTACTATTTCAATTATAGACAATTACAATATTCGCTGTCGCATACAGTTGGCCGTTTGCATCTCATTTTGAGTGTGATTCTATTTGTTTTGTGCAAGTTTGTTTATCGCTGTCTCCAGCCTTTAACGTTAATCAAAAGGTGTGAGGATACCGACAGAAGGATCTCAAGCGAACACCGACGCGTTGTAGGTAATATAATAGATTTTATTCGCGACGGAGGTGTCAGTTGATAGTGTTTGTAAGCTGTCTAGTAATTTCGGCGCCGTACCGTACGAGAGGGGTTGGTAGGATAAAAGTTTTATTGAAGATGTCAAGAAATGCTTTCGATAATTGTCAAAATATGGATTTCGGAATAGGATGGACGAGTCAGAATATGATGACGAAATGCGGCCGATGCCTGTCAAAATTGGGATGGCGGAATACAGTCGAGTGGTGTAGCACAGTGGTTCTTAACCGCCGGTGCTCTTCATCGCTGTAATGTCCCTATAAGATAAAACTGCATGCTAAATTTTATAAACGGCTGTGTAACACTGGCACCTTCTTCTTTCCCGCCATCCCTGAACTGACACGCATTGACCGTATTTTCCCATCCCTAAACTGACACGTATCGATCGTATTTCGCCATCCCTAACTGGCACGCATTGTCCGTATTTTGCCGTCCATATTTGAACACGCATCGATAGTCGTATTTTGCCATCCCCGATCATAGTCATAGACTCTATTCACCTTCCCTAATTGGACACGCATTAATCGCATTCCGCCATTCAGTCATCCCTATTTTAACACGCATCAACGATCGTATTTCGCCATCCCTAATTTGACGCATAGACCGTATGTCGCAATCCCTAATTTAACACGCATCGACCGTATTTCGCCATCCTTATTTTGACATCCCCAATGTGACTTTTACCATACCACCTCTATAGTGCCGTACAGCGGTTACTTTGTTTGATTCTAAGCAAAGTTGAAAGAACTGAAGGAGGACAAGGATGCGGATCTCGTATGACTGTGATAAGGTACAGGTACGGTACGGTAGCCCTTGCAAATTCTCGGCATAGGTCAGTAGGCAGGCAGGTTCTTGGGTACCACTGCAGTACGGTACAATCTGCCAGCACCGGTGAGAGCAGGGCACTGATACCGGTAAGGGTAGGAGGCCTGTAAAACCTTTCCGGTACCGCTACCGTACCATAGTTTCTGAGTTTAGTTTAATCTGTTGGTGTCCAAATTGCAGAAATGTACGGTATCCATCTTTAGCACTTGGAAAATTGTATCTACGGTACGGTACAGGTGTACTTCACTGGTTTGCTGGTGTTCCTAATACTGTAATACCCGTACCGTTACTGTAATAGATAGAAGCAAGTGGATTTGATTATTGAAATTGCTGACAGTGATTTGATTGATGGATTGGAAAATTTGCTTTTTTTAACCTAAACTAGGCCTATTCAATTCCACGCATATGACAGTGCTGCAGTACCGGTACTGCAGTATGAAAAAACATGACGTTTTTGTGTCATTTGCAACAACAGTTAAGGTCACAATTAAGGTTACACAAATATAGTCTGATCACAAATGAATAAAAACTGACTTTTAATTGAAGTCATTTTTTCTGGAAAAGATAAGAACATACCTTTTCTGAGTGCAGGAGTGTGGAGTACGGTACTACAACAACCTGACAACAGAGAGCCCTTTAAAACAGACTAACTGGTCCCAGTCTTTTATTTTGGATGTCAATATTTCAATTGTTGATAGTGACTTACTTGACAACAAATTTAAAATAGTATTTTGTTTGGTAGCTGTTACTTTTCAAGTCATAAGATGTTGTAAAGGATTGAATACCCTTACAGCCTTAGAACTGTGCAAAATATTTAAATTTCAGTTATTGGTTGTGATAAATATACACTCCATACTATTTTGAATACTTTTTTACTGCAATAGTTACTTCAATGTTTGTTTTGCCATTCTAGTAGTACTGTAGTAGGTTTTGTTGGTGCAGTAGTGATATGGTTTCATACTGATACAAGGAATAAGTAACTATTATCTTTAAAAAATCAGGTGCTATATGTGAATTGATTATTCTGAATTAAAATACATGCCAAGTGAATAAATATTGAGTAATTTAATTACTTTCGATTCCAAAAGAATTCTATATTTCTAATAATGCCTAGATTGAGACATGATGACATGATGAAAATATAAAACATTACGATGCCTTAGCATTATTATCCTATCCTTCCAAATAGTGGGGTAGTGTTTTGTAGTGATGTACAAATGCCATTACCACAAAATTTAATTAAATTGCTAAAAATTAAACAGTTGCATAAACTTTTATAAGCATTTTTCTTTAGCTGAAAGCAGACTTTAATTTGGGGAATTTAAGTCTTTGCTCAGATAAAACAAAGCATACCAAGTATCCATGGACAAATATTATTTCATCTTCAGCAGAAAACTTTTATCTTTAATCACAATCCAATATTTTCAAGGAGGTCTAGAATAATTTTATAATCTCATTAGTAAATAAATACACTATTAAAAATATAATTTCTCACGCATAGGAAATTTTGTTGTAATTTTCCATTTACGTATGTGTCTTTTATAATATGAGCTCTTGAAATTGCAGAAATTTTTTCTACATGAGGATTGTTTGCTCAACTACTTGACTTCTTGTTTACTGATCATTTAATGACTTTGTTATAAGAGTTTTTTATCTGTATTAGTTTTTTATATAAAACATAAGCGTTTAAATGCAATATTTTTTCATTAATAGGAAGTTTGCAATTCCTATCATCGTTTTGTATCTACGGTACGGTACAGGTGTACTTCACTGGTTTGCTGGTGTTCCTAATACTGTAATACCCGTACCGTTACTGTAATAGATAGAAGCAAGTGGATTTGATTATTGAAATTGCTGACAGTGATTTGATTGATGGATTGGAAAATTTGCTTTTTTTAACCTAAACTAGGCCTATTCAATTCCACGCATATGACAGTGCTGCAGTACCGGTACTGCAGTATGAAAAAACATGACGTTTTTGTGTCATTTGCAACAACAGTTAAGGTCACAATTAAGGTTACACAAATATAGTCTGATCACAAATGAATAAAAACTGACTTTTAATTGAAGTCATTTTTTCTGGAAAAGATAAGAACATACCTTTTCTGAGTGCAGGAGTGTGGAGTACGGTACTACAACAACCTGACAACAGAGAGCCCTTTAAAACAGACTAACTGGTCCCAGTCTTTTATTTTGGATGTCAATATTTCAATTGTTGATAGTGACTTACTTGACAACAAATTTAAAATAGTATTTTGTTTGGTAGCTGTTACTTTTCAAGTCATAAGATGTTGTAAAGGATTGAATACCCTTACAGCCTTAGAACTGTGCAAAATATTTAAATTTCAGTTATTGGTTGTGATAAATATACACTCCATACTATTTTGAATACTTTTTTACTGCAATAGTTACTTCAATGTTTGTTTTGCCATTCTAGTAGTACTGTAGTAGGTTTTGTTGGTGCAGTAGTGATATGGTTTCATACTGATACAAGGAATAAGTAACTATTATCTTTAAAAAATCAGGTGCTATATGTGAATTGATTATTCTGAATTAAAATACATGCCAAGTGAATAAATATTGAGTAATTTAATTACTTTCGATTCCAAAAGAATTCTATATTTCTAATAATGCCTAGATTGAGACATGATGACATGATGAAAATATAAAACATTACGATGCCTTAGCATTATTATCCTATCCTTCCAAATAGTGGGGTAGTGTTTTGTAGTGATGTACAAATGCCATTACCACAAAATTTAATTAAATTGCTAAAAATTAAACAGTTGCATAAACTTTTATAAGCATTTTTCTTTAGCTGAAAGCAGACTTTAATTTGGGGAATTTAAGTCTTTGCTCAGATAAAACAAAGCATACCAAGTATCCATGGACAAATATTATTTCATCTTCAGCAGAAAACTTTTATCTTTAATCACAATCCAATATTTTCAAGGAGGTCTAGAATAATTTTATAATCTCATTAGTAAATAAATACACTATTAAAAATATAATTTCTCACGCATAGGAAATTTTGTTGTAATTTTCCATTTACGTATGTGTCTTTTATAATATGAGCTCTTGAAATTGCAGAAATTTTTTCTACATGAGGATTGTTTGCTCAACTACTTGACTTCTTGTTTACTGATCATTTAATGACTTTGTTATAAGAGTTTTTTATCTGTATTAGTCTTTTATATAAAACATAAGCGTTTAAATGCAATATTTTTTCATTAATAGGAAGTTTGCAATTCCTATCATCGTTTTTATAAAAATTTTTTATTCATGGCTTAGTTTTTCATAGTTTTTCAGAGTTTTGACTAGCAATATGTAAATAGTTTTATATCTATGAAGTTTTTATATTGTACAATTTTTCCACTGGATTTGTGACATGCTTCTATTTAGAAAATTTCAAGTGAATCAAATTTTATTATGATGTAGAGCCATAAATATATAAATATTGCTGGCATTCGCATGGAATACTTTTCAATCAAATTTTTTCGAGCTTCTGTAAATTTTATAAACTTGTTATAATTTAATTTCAAGGTTTATAGTTTTTCAACTCATATCAGCGTCATGTCTTATAATGAACAATACTTTCTTTCATTCCCCCTTAAAAGAATACTGTTTATTATTGAGTACGCACTGCACAATCCTTTATTCTGCTATATTGACTTGGGCTCAGTTGTAAATTTATATTGTTTAAAGGCATACAATATTATAATACCGCATTGTATTCGCCCGATAAGTTGGTGTTGATATAGAACCACAAAATGTTCAAATATTTTATTGCAATGACAAACTTGTAAAATGTTGTTGAATTTAATAATCATTGCATTGGTTTACTTCCCCACGTTTGATAGGCCCGCATTCATCCGGATATAAGTACAACAAATCCTTATCTTGCTCGATTTTGAAGGGCTTTTTAATCTCCTTTAAATATTTGCTGCTGTAAAAATATCTTCAAAAGGGAACAACTGGTATGCGTTAGCTATTTGGATGAAATTTAGGGCGCTTCTTAATTTTGCTTTATATATCTCAATGAATGGTCTGGTCATTTTATGTAAGATCTACCAGAAATGATAACAGTTTTGTAATCATGTTCATAACGACTTCTCACTGATTTTTTTTAAAGATTCCCCGTACTTATGCACTGCGTTTGCTTGGTATATCAACCAAATCTAAGATGGCAACAATATTCGTTCAATATTTTAAGACGTTAATTTTTCTATTTGCAAATGTTACCACTTTGATCATGTATAAACTTTCTATTTCCACAATTTTTCATTCATATGACTAATAGCAGTAATAATCCCATGATATGTGCAAACTAGCAAAGCAAACATTCATTTATGTTGGATTTCTATTTTAAATTATCAGCCTCATTGTAGGAGATAGATAGCAGTACCTGCCAAGTAAATATACCTTTGTACGAGAAAGACACTTTTGGGGAGGCAATGGTGCTGCAATATTGCATCGGTTGCATGCTATTGGTTGGAATAATTTATGAAGCACACGCCTTCGCTACACCCATTTGAGGTTGAGGCCAGGGATATTTTATTAGATTTTTAATCCCGGTACACTTCATTTTGAATCTGGCATAGATACTGATCAGGTCAAATTATAGTAGCTGTATTTCTGGGTCTGAACAGTTAGCTTTCAGTTTGGAATGAAGAATGTACCATTTTTGCTTAACAAAACAATGTGCTTCAGAAATAAAACTCATTGTTATATTTCTTCTATTTTCTTCATTCAACAGGTGCCATTATACTAGATATAGAAAATACTTATTCAAATATAGAAGCCTTTTAAAGTATCGGCAGGTTCACAATATACATTTATATATATTCTCATTTGCTCCAGTTTTGTGACATAAATTCTATATTTGTGATGAACTGTCTCAACACGAAAGCAGTGGTCAGGAGTCCTCTTGCCACAGCTCCAGGAAATAGAGCTGCAGGTACTATTTTGAATATATGTAAAACATACTGAAAATCTTTTTTTTTATTTCATTCAAGGAGTACCTTTTATTTTATGCGCTGTTATAAATTAAACCATTTAATTATTATTAATCACTGAGTTATAGCTCATTGCTGAGTTGTTTGAATCAATTTTCAAATGATAAGCTATATTGCAATTTTTGTTTTGAAAAGATGTTTCTCTTATTTGAAGGGCAATACTATAATTGGACATAATATATTTGTTTTTCATCGTAATATATCTAACTTCAGTATTCTAATTTAAAGTGGTAGCCGTATTGAGAACAAGATTTTTGTTTTCGTATAAATAATTTTGAAATGTTAAGTCAAATATACCAACCTGATATATCGACCCCAAGAATATTTTGCTGGCAATCCAGCAATGTTTTAAATTGACCACATCATATATTCCGAAGTATATTTTTTGATTTTTTTTCTTAGATGATGATGTTGATCTGGAAAGTTTAATAAGCATGAGATATGATGATGAAGAATCAGACAGACAGTCAGAAATTTTTAACAACAGCGGAACATCAGGTAGAGTTAACTGTTTAATATAATCAGTCATGTATAATAATGGATTATTCTATTATGAGATATTAATATTCAATTTTATTTTTCGATATTTCGCATTAAAACGTTTAAATCTATCGAGCTGAACATGTTATATTTCTTTTGGTATGCGCTTCGCTATTCCATTTATCGAATTTCCTGTAACATGTAATGCACTATCCAATAGATATATTTATTCAGGTATGTAATTATTTTCTGCAGATCCATGAATATATATATAATTTTATCTTGTAAAATACAAATTAAATTATGGTTTTCATATATTATAAATAAAATTTTGTTAATTCTTGCTATCAAATTACTACTCGACCTCTATCTTAGATCTGAAGCTGATTTTTTTTAAATGGGGTTATTTTCTTAGATGAATCGACCACAAGCCTGGACAATGGAATGTCAAATCATTGCAACGGACATGGAAAAGTAACAAATGGAAAAAGTTTTTTCAAGTCTCTACCAATGGCAATTCTAAGTAGAAAGTAATTTTAATATATATTATTTTATATTTTCTGTAACTCAACAAACCTGTATTACAACATGAATATCCATATCTGAATATTTTACTAAATTAGAAATTTGAATAATTTTTTAATTCATTTGGATTTTTGAGAAATGCATCTGCAGGGCATTAAAATCATGATATAGGCCAAGTCTTGAGATTTTATCTGTGCCCTTTATACGGTTGTAGTCTTCAATAGGCTATGTGTTAACTTGTTGACCTGACAATTGTTTCTATTTCCATTCCAGGAAGTTATTCGGGTCGCATTCAGATTTATCCAATCAACGTCCATCCTCTCCAGTTATCCCAGTGCAGCTATCATCATCCATTCCACAATCAGATCATAATTCATCCTTCAAACATAGAAAAGTAGGTTAATCTTACGTTTCTGTTTTTATGTACGGTAGTTGTATAGAAATGTTTGATGTTGTCTCCTTTATCACTGATAACAAAGTTACCTTTTTTTTCGATTTTGAAAAGATATCTAAGTGGGTAGTATTTAATGAAAGGGTTAGAATATTTTTTTACACTTCATCATACTAGTTAAAGTACGGTAAGCATAATGTTCATTTTTATGCGAATCATTTTCATGCAATCGACTCAGAACAAGGTTCTGTATGAGCGGTCACTGATGTGTAAGAAGTTATTATCGATAATTCATGGTTTACAGATTTTTTCTTTGCCCTCTACACCAGCCCTGTCACAAGATTATTGGGGGATAACCCCTTTTTTCTTATTTGCCTGTGGTCTAAAATATGTTTCATTTATGTCCAGTTATCTTTGCGCCTTAATTAATTCCGATTGCAAATTTGTTTCTGATTTTAAAAGTAATCAAAAATGGTTTTCATTCATAATTCCTTGTTATTGACTGAGAAAAATGACTTTGAAATCTTGAATTTGTTTGAATTCATGTATTGGAACAATTTGGAAGCCATTTTTTCTTAATTTTGAATATCTAAAACCAGTGCACTTCATTTAGTCAACGATTCTTGAAAGTAATTAAATCATAAGCGTTTTCACCAAATCTGAAAGCGAAAGAACTCTTTGAGAATCACACTTGAAAATGTGACAGCTTATAGAAAATCTATAGTGTTGTCATTTTTAATAACATGGTATGGTTGGGAACAATTTTATTATAATAAGAAATGCAATCACGCTTTGACATAATTTGTATCAAGCAATGTGTGTTATCTGAATAACGACCACATTAAATTACAAGTTACCTGTCATTTAGTGTTGTAATCTTGAGTGCGGTTTCACTGTTACCTCAAATTACCCTAATTTACATTGCTACACTTATTCAATATAAACCTTCTTAGAAAACCATGAATTGTGGTACTTCGAGTTTGAAGTGTCTCGTACTCTTGGTAATTTTTTTATTTTAGGATTCATTGCGTTATTAATGGTTTATTGAGTCATATTCCACTTTTTGGTCAATTTACTGAGTAAATCGACTGATAATTGTATATGATAGCATATATGGAATCCAATGTGTAATCATTATTATGGAGGGTTTAAATTTGCTAATATTCATTATTCCTAAATCCTAATATCCATTTTCAATGGTATTCATAAGTAAATTCTTATTTGTAAGAGGCTAACAGTCCTTTCATTTTATTATAACTTAATATTGTAGGATTGCTTGGTTTTTATAATCCATTAAAACTTTATAAAAAGTCGTGATATCTTGATGATCATTTATTTGGCTTAGATATAGATCTCCATAAATTCTAAAATAGGAATGATAACTTTTGAATTTTGATCATCGTAGATCGCAATTATTCTATACACTTTCAATATAATAAAGCTCAATTTCAAATAGCAAAATTGTTATCATTCAGAATCAAGAATTTCATTAAAGGATGGTTTTAATCGATTCCTGATATACCTTTGAAAAACTTTAATGACTTTTCCAAATATAGTCTTTTCCAAATATTTATCCATAAATTTGACCGACGTAGGCGTAAGAATTTTTGGTTCGTTTCCGAGATTATAGATTTGTATGTTTGGCCTTTTTTAGAAGGCTTTAGCAATATAATACAAATAGTGGTTAGCTGTTGCGAAATTTAAATATTTGCCCAATATAATCCAGTTAAGCTCAATATGAGTCATCGAGCAATTTTCGAGAACAAACCACTAAACTCTACAATGCTCACGTATTTAAGATAAAACAGTTTTTCTGTTTGTACGCAATGTGATACCAAGCGAAAATAGAATTACGGTAATGAGAAATGCTTTTGGTAATGATTAAATACACCTTGCAAAATATTTTATTTTCACTTTTTATTAATAGGATTTTACCTTTGCTTTTTGGGTCAGGGTTGAATACTTTTACACAAAGAAAAATAAAACAATGGCATTCTTTTTAAATTTTTATAATTTACACTCAAAAATCAGACTTATATTTGGGCCATGTTTAATAAATCTTAAACATTGACATGTGGTAAAGCAAAATATTGAAAAGATTTGGAGGCGTTCCGAGGGCCAGGTTATACTCCATGACCCCTTTGTTTACATTACGCTTTCAAGAGTGAGCAATTACGTCAAATGACGTCTTTCGTCGAGTAAAATCCTAAAAATCTATTGAGGATAGCGGACAATATTACAGTAGAGTTATTGTAACAGGCGGAACTAATTGGATGTAACAAAACGTCAGTTTTTTAACTTTTAAAACGTATCATATCACCTCAACATGTAACATAATAGCATTGTGCCGGGTCTTATGTAACATATTTTAAACCATGTTTTACAGAATGTAATTCATTAGCATACAACTTTTTATGTGATCATAATTAATACCAAATGTATTTTGTGTTTTGTCTGAGATTATCTGGCAACCAAGAAAAAACCTAATGTGAATGCCCCAAAGTTGCAAATTATATACAATTACCTTATATAAGCTTATAAATGTGTTATACTGGTCCACAAGTTTTTGCGGTTTCTGGTTTTTGGGACTCATAAGAAGCAGTCTTAGTACTTAATACGTCTTAAATGCAAACTTAAAGCAAAACTATAGATCGTTATAAATTTCATATTGTAATTTTATTGTTTACCATCACAAGATTTTTTCCGTTTAGAACTTTAGATCAATAGTATGATTCAAATCCTCAGGGGAACTAGACAAGTTTCGATTTATCGTCCAGCGTCCTGATTTTTGTGAACTTGTTGGGGTTGTATAAATAAGAAAAGTACCTGGGTTTTGTTTTCGCTTTCTTTCCTTAAGTTTGACAGTATAATTTAATTTGTCAATCCTAATTTAATGGCATTCAGATCAGGACAATTTATGAATTATTTTGATTATTCTTGCTTTGGCTTTCTAATCGGATAGCCGACAAAGTTTCTTTTCAGCTTGGAAGAACATCATATAATTGAATTTAACATTTTAATCTGATTTTGAAATTTGTTCCAATTAGTCAAAACGGAAATCGAAGTTTGGAAAATTAGATTTTGAAAATTTTTTTTTTTTTAATCTGAATATGGGATAGTTTTAAATGTAACATTATTAGCAATGAAACAATTAACCAAACTAAATTTGTGGCAAATCAGTTTTAACTTTTACATTATGAATAGTTGTTTAGCCTCTGTTAGTATTTTGATCTTGCAAAATTTATTTGTTTTTAGTGCGACTTTTAACTCATATCGGGGTCATAGTAACGTTTACAGTACCAAATCTACAGTAAATATTGCATTGAATGCTTCCTGCTTCAAGTTTTGAGCTGTCAAATACTTTCACGTGTGTAAACCTTATGTAATATCTAAATACATGGGATGTCATGTTGTTTATTATATGTACACAGTCTCCAATGTTGTGTGAACCTTATGCAATATCTGAATATATGTATGTGATGTAATGTAGTTTATTATATGTACACAATTTCCAATGTTGTCCTTCTTGACATAGTAAATGCTTTCCGTATTAACGTCAAAATTTTAGTCATACAACATATGTATAGAATCATTGATGCTGACAACAATTTGCCAGTATAATAATTTCGACATCACAGTTTGGGTTCAAGCATAAGTTATACTCAAATCCAACCCAACACTTTCATCCAGTCTCTGTTACATATTCTTACAATGTTCACTTATTATGCGGATGATGTTAAATTCTGAGCCAAATAACATAGCCTACCCGGTACATAACCACGTAAATTAAGGGCGTACCAAATTTCCGAAGTGTCGTAGCTCATCTCTATGTGTCTCTGCTTACAGAGAGCCTTGTTCAGACCCATCGTGTGAAAATAGTTCATAAAGAATGCACCAACAAATTAAAAAAAGTCACATTTTTTAAATTATTAGTACCACAGGGCATACCACATTACCAATGATTACATCACCCCATTTCATACTTAGACTAGTCAAGAGACCATTCCAAGTTGTTGACATACTTGTTTATTATAGTTATGTAGTGCCCTTGTTAACTTCCACTCTAAGTGCTATTCAGGATGTATTAATGAATCATCTGTGTATCCTGTTGGCATTAGGAAATACGATCAAACTGAATTTTTTATGTTCGACAGGAATCTCTCCTGCTGATTAGAAATATGTGTAATTTAATATTTGGATTTCCAGGTGATATAAGATAGCATCAAAGAAATTTTGAACTTGCATTTATTTGTAAAAAAAATATTCTCCTTTATCACTGTCATAAATCATTCATTACAAAGTCATGATTCTGGCCAAGCCAACTTTAATTTCTTCTCTTAGTGCAGTGTTTCCCAACCCGAGTCCGCGGTCTCAAATGAGTCCGCGGAGCGTTGGAATGAGTCCGCGACGAGCCAGAAATTCACTGCGGGCCACAAACGTTTTTGCGAAACTTGACCATTAGCAAAGTTACGATTTAGGTTACAATTTACATTAAAATATAAAAGCAAATTTATTCATATACCATTAATCGAGTCAATAATTACTGGGTACTGAGTAGGGCTAGGCATATATTCGAATATTCAACCATTAGAATAGCAATTTACTATTCGAAAATGTGATAACAGGTGACGCGACAGGCCACTGCGCGTCGCTTAGTCAAACGATTGGAGTTCACAACTCACTTGCGGATTTCCGACGAAAACACGAGTCGGCAAACGCGTTGATAGATATCTAAGTGGCGTTTCTCGCGAGCTCGAACAACAAGGAATAATTTTCTTTTCTGGTAGATGACAATGGTGGCAACCTAAATTTTCTAAATTGAAAAGCGGCAATACTAAAAATAAAACGGAAAATACCATAGTTTAAGTTCTATGATGGTCCTCGACCGATTAAAAACGCTTTTTTAGACATTGCAAATCGCAAAATTTTGGGTGCTATAATGTAGTATCCGTATCAGGGCATTTTCCCTTAGGATTCTTTGCTTTACTGCCTCTACATTGGTACGCACAGTACTGGAGCGCCGTAAGTATTATACAAACAGCTCAGATTTGTCGAATTCGCAAAAATACGAATCTAAACAACATATAATCGGGCACTTCACCACGCATTTTTGTGTCCACGGATTGTCATGATATTTTCTGAGTAGTATTGCTTCTATTTCGTCAACACAACCGCAGATTAAAATTATCACAATTAAATTAATATTAAAGAAAGGCGATTTTTTATTTACTAATATACTTTTATTATATTTTTAATAAATACTAAATCAAGTTGTACTTTTTGGAAACTTATAGCAGATAGTAGGATTTTTCTAACAGCGATAACAAATTTGCAAGATCGCAAATAATATGTATCAAACTAAATATAATCGGGCAATATATTCTCACATTATTATGTTCGCAGATTGCCGTGGCATTAGAGAAGTAGTGCTTTCATCTTGTCATAAGTCGACGCAACCGCGAGTGACCATGAACACAACTAAATTAAAATAGAAAGACATTTTATATTCTCGTCGTTGTCATGGATTGAATATTATGCGACAGAAAAGGCCATTCATACACTAAAAAAGTTGGCTCCATCAACAAACGCGCAATTGAGGCGAATTTCTGATTTTGAAATTCGTTAAAATTCTGTTCTGTTTGGTTTTACTATACTCCTTCACGCAGAGTACATTTGCAATAAACGTACGTTGAGTCCGCAAAGGCTTTCGCCGGTGAGAAAATAGTCCGCAACCAAAAAAGGTTGGGAAACGCTGTCTTAGTGGAATAAGATGACCTATTATGAACCTGCTGGATTTTGACGGTCAAAATAATTTTCAATCTAGTTTTGTACATGCCAATATGACAACAAATTTTGTAGGGATTTTTCAAAATAATAAGTTTGTTCAAATAAAATGTTATTACTCATAACTTATATTACAATAATATTTGTCACTTTTAGTAAACTTTTGCGATCAGAAATATTTTTAACTGGACTTTGAAATGCATATTTGAATAGGATATAGGCCTATTACACTTTTGTAAAACTCCCCGCAATTTATAATATTTTAACAAAAGAAATATCCGTAACAATTCGCTTTTATATTGCAAATATATGTATGATATAACACTAACTCCCTACTGGATATTATATAACCATTGTTGTACTAGAACTCTGTAAATATTTCATATCAAATTCTTATCTCTTCCATTGTTTACTATGAGTGATTGTACCCACGCTTTTTCACATGAGAAATGGTTTGTTAGTCATTCATTGTACATTTGCTGTACCACGATTTCTCATGACTAATTGTAAATACTAATGCATGGGTATGTTATCTGATTTATCAGATTATTTATTATAGTATACATCTGTAAGAATTTTAAATTTTAAATTTTTACTCTTGACGATAATAGGTTACAAATATTTTATAACTAGAATGTATGAATTGCCTTTTTAAAATTCGTCTTGGGGGCGTGACAAAATACCAACAAGATCTATTTCCAAGAATTATTTTTAGTTCATACCTGTTCGTCAAAAGAAACATCTTTTTATGAATTTTTCCACTAAAAACGCAGTCATTAAATGTAGTGTTTTCGAATATACCGGTATTAGTTACTAAATTAACACACTCATACAATACTATAATAAATTATTCCTGTCATTCAATCATATCCTGTCCTATTTACTTATGTGTGTTGCTTATATAAAACAAAGTAAATTCATAAAATTATTATCAACCTATCAAATCTTCATTATTTTTCCTCATGTAAGTTGGTACTTTTTTAATAGAGGAGCATATTGTGTATGCGAAGCCATTTCTCAAATAAAAAATTTATTACAGAAAATTTTTTTTTCAAACTGCCACATTTTCCAGTGGATTGATTTAAATTCTTTTGCTAAAAAGGATTAAAATTAAAATATGTCCGATATTGCAGATTAAAAGATTTCTCTAGTTCTGTAAGTAGTTCTTAGATGTTTCCTTCGAAACGGAAAACCACTTGCTATAATTAATGACTCTATTGAGATAGAAAATTATACCTCGATCACTCAAATCATTTTGTCATGATAGTAGTTGACTTTTGGTTAACCTCGAATCAATGAAAACTACACTTGTCTTCAATTGACAATAGAAGCATTCCGATCACTAATAAGCCACTATTAAAGTGAGTTGCGACATGTTTTAAGAAAGAATCTTCGAAAATATGCCATTAGTCCAGCTGCCCAGCTGCTTCAGTGAGCAGGTTTCTTGAGTTAAGTTTTCGGTTCCTGGTACAGAAAGTATATGCTAGAAGACGTGACTTATTAGATTTTAGATTCTGTATCACATAAGAGTGGTCGATTGAAGTTTGTTATTCAAAATGCTTGAATATGCTACTACCACCTCGTTCATATTTACAGTAAGTAATGCTTGGAATTTTAAATATTTCTATCAGGGAATAGTTTTCTGTATAGATTGTTGAATTTAACTTATATCAGGTCTGTACCCGATGTCCATAATTGCCGAAATTTTCGGGATAATTGAAAAGAAAATTTGTGAAATTTAACAAATTAATATTTTATTTCATGCTGCAAGAATAGAAGGCCATATTAATGTGGGTGTTTCAAGCAGTATGCGTATTCAAAGCGTTACTTATCATAACTTAAAAATACATTCTTATCTGTTATTCCTTTGGGAACAATGGTAATTTTTTTTTATTAGATTTTGTATAAAAACATTGCCGTAAATCTTATGACGTCAACCACGATCAAAATAAATACCGCTATGTGCTTTGTATCGATCTAAAAGCATGCCAAGGGCAATTTTTGTTTCACCTGTATTGCTCGTAACAAAACAATGATATCACGTTCCAATTCACCATACACATGACCAACGCTAACTTGTTTGAGTTTGTTGAATAAATTTGTCATCTTTTCAACTAAGCTATGATTTATCTTTTGATTTATGCATTAATTCACGAGATAGAATGTTTAAGAGGAAAATTTTACTTGAGTTGTATTTATCTAGGTACATAAATAGCGATACAAAAGATACTCACAACAATAAAATATAAAAGGACCTGAAGTATGCGCACCAAGATGACGCACATCCTGAACTCAGGGTGTGTACCATGTTAGGGTTCAGGTTATGCGACATCTTGGTGCGCATACTTCAGGAGCCACATATAGAAAATACATAACTTTACTCAGTGTATAGTCTTGAGTCACATTGAGTTACCTTCAATTATTTATGAATCATTTTAACGGAAGATTGCCATTTTGATTCCCATACTGACTCAATAGCCATGAAGTTGTTTTATACCATTTTTGGTAAATATCTCGTCAAATATTAATTCTGATCATATGACTTTTTTTTATTTTATTCACATATTTTATACAGCTACTGTAGTTTTGTATTTAATGTCATCAAAATGTTGTATATATTTGTTTTGCTTCGATAATAACCTAAGTATCATAATACCTTTCTCCTAAGGTTCTCTTAACGTCAATTTCATATGTTGTTTTTGTCTACAGTCGCCCTTGGTTGAAAGATCAGCTCACAACAAAAGTAACGGTGTTCATAATCAGGTAAATGAATTTTTGTTTTTTATTCTCTGAATTTTTGTACTTATATTTATCAATGGTGTTTACTTCTAAATATTCATATAATCGCAATTTTTTTCTATATCAAATTATCCAGCATGAGTCCATGACCTTTTTTTACTAATATTTGAAAGAAAATTTAATTTTTACCCAAATTGTTGCGCCTCGTGCACAAATTCAAAAAACAAAATTATATTTATGTATATTCACATTTTTTGATTTAGAAATGGCATATTTGCATGAGAACAAAAATTGTTAGTAAAAAATAATTCAACATATTAGCGTATTTTCTATTTAGTCTACCAGACGTGTATAAGTATTGGTATTTGTTTAGCAAACAACAGTTTACATTTCGTAAATATTATTTTTCATGATCATCATTATCTCATTTTTCAGGAAAAAAACATGTTTTCGCAATTCCCTATCTATCGTAGTTATGCACCAAACATTGATACGCATTGCAACTGAACAACTTTAGCTTCCCAATATCACGTTTAATCTAAATTATATAATAATTGGGGGATATGTTTATGCAAGGTAACAATTTGCAGTAATTTTGGTTATGTAACCAATTCAATTTGTCGTCGGAATGAAAATTTTTTGAAATTATATTTCATCAATTAGATTATGTAATGCTAATATTTAAAGAACAATTAACTTATCATTAAGAATAAACATACATTTCACATGGAATTTCTGACTTGAAACTGTTGCTGTGGAGGTTTTACCAGGCTCAGGCCTTACTGTTTACCAGCATCGCTATATTATCTCCAGACCCATATATTTGAAATAGTGCTCTTTTGTTTCTTAATCATATGAAATTAAAATTTTCATGTATTTTTCAGAAAATATGGTCAGTTTGGGTGTCAGATTCAAACATGTTTCAAGATGTTGAACTTCCATACGATGCAACATGTAGTCTTCTTCTTCATATGCTTTTATTAAAATTACAACGACAGACGGATCTAACAACATGGTCAATTGTATTACAAGACAGCGAGTTTTTAATAGGTAAAAGACATATTAACCTTTTACGTTTACGGCAATGAAATTTATATTAATAAATTTGTAAAATTTTCATATAAGCACCCAGAGTCAATTAACTTGAATATGTGATAAACGTAGGTTCAATATTGAAAAATATTGATTTATCAGTAAACTGTCATTTACTTCCTACTAGTTGAGCGTATGTTACTATGAACATACTTACCACTCGATATATTAATTCAAAACCTTAATTTTGTTGTTGTTGTGTAAAATTAAATAGTATATTTAATTTCAAAATTTTGCGCTCGTTTTTTTTTGTCTGTTGCCAAAAGAAATACATTCCCTATTCCAAATTTTCATAACTTAAAATATGTCTTCATTCGCTATATTAATTTAATGTCATAAAACCTTAATTTTGTCATAATGTATAATAAATAGTATATTTAATTTCAAAATTTTGCGCTTGTTTTTTTTTGCCTGTTGCCAAATCAAATACATTCCCAATTCGAATTTTTCATAATTTTATTGAATTACAGAACGAATTATTGAAGATCACGAAGTATTGGTCGATATTAAAGATACCTGGTCATCGGAATCAATTAACAAATTGTGTCTCAACATTTCGCCAACGAAATTTGAAATTTTGCAAAATCCAGAGGTGAGAATTCATCTATCCCATATTGTTTCTGTCAATGGCCATATTCAATCTTTGACTGTACTTGAGGAAAGAATTTTTATACAACATCAATATGAACTCGTTAAATGTTGGAAAAATTTATAGAAGTGTTCACTTAAGTATCATACTTATATATTTTTTCAAGTTATCTACTGTTTGTGTGAAAATTTGCAAATATTTCATACTTTCATTCTAACAACAAATTTTTATTGATGTCTCCAGTGGCATTTTAATAATTTGTTATGCCACCATAACTTGTCAATATTTTGTAAAATATTTTTATTTATATTTTATCTGATATTTTTAGATATATGTATACCAAAAATGTTTTTTCCTCTCAATATATCGTTCAAAATTCTTCAAGTTTAACACTATATCATAATTTATCAAGTGAAATATATGTACATTTCGAAATCATGACAAATTGCAGAAAGTAATACTAGAACATCGTTATCAGATCGGAGTTCTTAGCCATGTGTAAAAGATATTCTCAATACAAAATTTTGACATGGGCCTTTCTTGATAGAGGCTGTTTAACGAGCATTTTTATCTAATCCACTTTGTGATATCTTCCAAGTCTTTCCGGCTTTGACCTGGAATATATCCGATACATATCATTTGCGTGGAATGTGGTCATTCCTGTATTTGTACATGAGTAGTACGTAGAGCCGCCCACATGGTCAAATTTCCTAAGAATTCAGATTGAAAAAATATATGAAAACGATGTTTTATCCATAACCTAAAATTACCTCTTTTTGTATTAAATTGGCCCCTCTTTTGCGGTGTATTATAGTTTATATTCAATTTAGCGGAGTAAATATATTTTTGCTTTGAGTCAAAATTTACAAAATTTGTGACGTAAAATTGAACAATACTAATTTATAGCATTGTATATCATGTAAAATATTACAGAAATTTAATTCAAAATAACATGATTAGAATATGTAGGAGATGAAAGATTGCATCCTCCTATATGTCATCACATGGTTGCTTGTCTAGGATCTTATTCGCAGTGAATATACCGTACGAGTCATCTTATAAATAAACAAAGTTATGGCAGTCTATTCTTGTATAAAACATTTTGTATGATTGTTTTATTTCATACCATTTGGTCATAAAATTTATCTATCAAATAATAAAATTTATGGCCATAATTATAATCAAAATGTCTTCAGGCAATGCAAAGTGAAACTAAAATAAATTATGATTTTGTGTTGCTATAACTTTAAAATTTTGACATTTTGGATAATTTATACTTCGCCAAGTTTGTTTCATATTTGTTATCTTTCATTCTTACCGATGTGTTTATGTTGTTTAAGAAAAATCTTGATCTGTGACAAATTCCTTTAAATAATATCAATCATGTACCGTAATTCGAAAATGTGGTTACGCTCAACAGAAGGTATGTTTGTATTTACTGGAAACTTTTAATGAGCTTACAAAAACTTGTGGCTTGTGGGAAACCAAATTTTATGGGATTTTGGACAGTTGGAATGAATTTGAATCATAACGTTATGGATTAAAAATTTCATATACCAATAAATCGTATTGTGTTCTTATGTTAATTTTACATCGCATAATAATATTAATGGTATTTGAATATGCAGTAAATAAATTTTTAAATGATTCTATTTCGTAATAACCAAATTTTGAGAAAATTGATTTTCATATCCGTTATTCACAGAATTACTTACCATGATTTTAATATAATCTCTGTCGTTATTTCAGGTACTTTCGCATTTCTGATTTAAAGAAATTGCTAATATGAAACAAATTAGAAACGCATAATTTAGTTTTTCCAGGAATGTTTAAGAACAATTTTTAAAAGGATTTTCTTAACCAGTCAACCAGCAAATTCAAAATGGATTATTGATTATAATAAATATGTCGAATGTTACTTGCACTGGTATTTGTCAGTTTTGAACTGAAATAACATCTGACTATACATTTCTTTGATCCAGAGGTTTTCATTTCAAACTTGGTGTTCATTTTCTTTATTCAGTGCAACTCACGCTGCCTTAGAATAAAAAAGAAAAGTTTTTTTAGCTAACATTAAATTGAACAAATAATTTTTATATAATGCATTTTTATCAATGCAAACAAAAGCTTGTTTTTATGCATAGAAATAATAACTGTAGCAATATAGCAAGTCGTACTTCACTTTCAAAGCTAAATTCAACAGATTTGACCATTTTATATCAAGTTGTGAACGAAGACGAATAAGCAATTTTTTAGGAAATATATTGATATTTTATGACACACTCAAAATTTGGGAGCCACTACCTTAATCCTATAGAACTCGCATCACACACCTCACATTTACATATACCTATTGCGGATTTTTTTTAGAATGTTAATATATTGTAGATTTTTTCGCTCTATTACCTTCTCTTTTTCTGCTTTTTTATTTTGCATGTTCAGTTGAATAGGACAGACATGACACAAAATGTGGTTGAAATTTGACCCAAACATTTTTCTTGGTTTGAATTTATTAGAGCTTGTTTTATTTTAGAAGTAATTTATCTTTGAAATATTTCCCTATCGCTTCGAGCAATAGCCTACAAAGTTAAACTGTATAAACAGAAATGCTTTTATTTCATTTCTGGAAGCTTTAAAATTACAGAACCAAATATATCATACTTTGTCTTTTCTATATTTCCAAATTCAAACACATTATTAAATTCACGTTAGCTACTATGTGCCTAGTGACAAACATCGCTCAGTATGGAATATAATCGAAAATATATTAATTTTAGGTTGCATTCATAATATTCAAGCCATATTTCCATTCATATTTTTCAAATATAATTACACAATATTTGTCCAATTTATTCTCAATGTTTTTTTATCTTGTTTCAGTCATGTCTTCCGCCAGGAATGTTAACAATGTCGTCACAACCTACTTTAATAATGGAAAGTACAGAAACGAAACGTTATAAAATGCAGGTACGCTTCATTAATATAATAACCTGTAATTATAATGGTATTAACATGGATTTTTCAATGCTTTATTGCGTAAAGATTTTTGTAACTATTGATGACTAATCTGACCTCATTGTTTCTAGTATTTTGAAATTTCGTAGAATTTTGTGGGTTTTTGTCTTTAATTTGATTGTATCATGTTTTAATCTTTGAATGACATTTTTCGATAAGTTTCATTTATACAAATGTATAATGAATCTGTACATATTCAATATTATTCTGGGTTCTGGTATTGGCCCAGGCAGCGTCATAAAATATCCCAAATGCGATAAAAAAAAATTTTCCGATAGTAATATAGAATATATTTTAGCAAATATATTTTACGTACGGCCATGTTATTGTCACATTTTGCAAGAAGGAGCTTCTTTTTCAATTTTGGATTTGAAATAGCAGTCTCGCCAAATTTTTTTTAAATTGGTTTTTATTTGTTAGACACTTACCAGAAGTAAATTATTCAAATGAAAATGTAAAACATTTTCATTTGAATATTCCATCTAATATAAAGAGTATATAGACTAATTTCAAATCTTTATGAAAATTAATTTTGCTACTCACTACTGCGAATGTCATATTGTGGGCCTCAAATAAATTGCAAATAAAATACAAAAACTTGGATTAGTTGTGATATCACAATTGCAAAGCATGTTATTTTTACGAGCATAGAAACTGTTCTTCGTTCTTCCATGTTCAGTTAAAAAAAAAAAAATAGTTTTTATGTGTACCACTCTAAATTGATTTTATAGATATTTATATTTATTTTTCAGTATATTCTAACGAAAACAGCACCTGAATTTTGTGGTTGGCTACATGTTCGAGATTGTGGCGCCAGGTTTTGGAAAAAAACATTTTGTGTTCTCAGAAATTCTGGTCTATATTGTAGCAGCAAAGGAGAAAGCAAGGTAACTTTTCGTAATTTTTTAAAGTAATATAATATTGTTAGTATGGTGGTTTAGAAAACCTGATACATAGCTTTAGAAATGTGTAGAAATTGAATTTAAAATCAGGAAAGATTGTACTTTTAAAACTAAAATAAACAAAATTTATTTTGTCTAGTGGGAAAAGTTGCAAATGTGTTAACTTTTATGAAGTAGGGTCATGCATTTATCGTGATTTTGCATTAATATACTCAATCAGGATATTCTATAACATTTCAAATCTAGAATTATGAAAATATCAGGATATTGAAATATCCTTGTATATTTGGAATATTTTTCGCAGTCTCAGACATACATTGTATTTGTATGATTTTCCCTAACTAAATTATTTATATTTTACACACTAACTCTGTCTCACTTATCTCGTTCAACTTTTCATGTTTTTGTTACAGGAACCTCGTCACTTGCAATGTTTCGCCGACGTTCTTTCATCTAATGTCTGGGTTTCGGCTCCGAATAAGAAATTTGATTCAACATCATATTGTTTTTGTATAAAAGTAAGATAAATTCATTCATGTATTAATTCTTAATAACTCTTTCTCATATCTGTCCTATAAAAGTATATGTTTATGTTTATTCCATACTCAGGGGATGTTAATAACTTTTTGAAATAATTTAGTTACTCTTGAAATTATCAATCTATACACTCGTGTTGTTTGTCGGTAAACGGCTCTGGAAGAATTGAAAGTTGATCGTCTGAAAATAAAAAAATTGAGTTTTTTTCATATATTTTCAATGTCACCCTTACCCTGTTAATTAAGCACATAGATATGATCTAGGCACTGTCAATTATTAATTCACTTTTGACAAAAAATAATTTATTCAAAGACATACATTTTTGTTCAAATTGTGCTCTAATTGTGCTAACAAAAAAGAGCATTCAATGTTCAATAGCTGACAAAATATCCATCAATCTATGTGCTGTTGGAGCTTTTCATGCAAACATGACATTTTTCAAGTGTGGTTTGGCATACATAATATGTGATATAAATAAATTGTCAAACACAAATTGTAAACACAAATGAATAATGTCGCATTGATAAAGTTTATGTAATATTTTGAGCACAAACACAAACAGAAAAACACTTTAATCCCGCAGAGATAATTCTGAGTATCACATTAAAAACTTTCGACAAGAACTTATTGGTAATCCATCAGGATTGCAGGAATTTTGAGTCCAAATATAGCAGTATCGTGTTGGAATGACGTTGTTTTGATTTTGTACTTGAAATTATTTTCCTATTGTGTGGATTTAAATGTTTGTTTCAACTTATTTTTTACTTATTTGTGTGTTTTCTGTGAACTTTGCATTTGAAACAATCAACAAGTTTCATAATTACCTCGTGTTTCAATAGATTAGTGAAACCTCCAAATCTCTGTATAAGTTTCAGGTTATGGTTTGTATAAGTACAACTTGTTTGAATTCGGTTGCAGAAAATTTTTCATTTTTTCAACTGACTTCAATATTTTCACTTTACATTGCAAAAAATGATTGCATATTATCTGTACATTTTCAAATTTCATGCAATTTTGAATTTCTCGATATGTGATAGTATGTACTTTTGCAACGACAATGCAATTCATTGTCACGTTCGCATGTAATTTTAGAATAATTGCGACTGCGAATGAAGTGGCCGGAGGGTTCGGCGAAATGTGCTACGTCCGATTAGCATTTTGAATTGTGAAAAATCGGGATTTCGTCTATTTGCACACCATTGTTAATATTCCGCTTATTCATCGGATATAGAATGATTAATGTTGTTCCAACTGGTTCGCATTTTACTTTCTTATAGTCACAATTTTGTATATTCACACACCTTTGTTATTATTCCGCTCATAAATATAAATACTTTTTCTTATTAAAGATTCACTGATGAAATTTTACATTCATGGAGTCAGAATTTTTTGTATTCGCACACCTTTGTAATTATTCCGCTTAAAAATTTAAATAATTTTACAGAGTAAAGGTTCACCGGATATGAAATGGTTGAGCGCTGACAGTCAGAAAATTTTTCATTTCTTCAGCCAACTCCAATATTTCTAATTTACCTTGCAAAAAATGATTGCATATTATCTGTACGTTTCCAAATTTCATGCAATTTTGAGATTTTTCTCGATTAGTGGTAGTACGAACTTTTGCAACGAGAAATTTCGCAATAAATGCAATGCAATTCATTGTCACGTTCGCATGTTATTTTAGAATAATTGCGACAGCGAATGAAGTGGCCGGAGGGTTTGCGAAATGTGCTACGGCCGATTAGCATTTTGAATTGTGAAAAATCGGAATTTTGTGTATTTGCACACCATTGCTATTATTCCGTTTATTCATCGGATATGAAATGATTAATGTTGTTCCAACCAATTAGCATTTTACTTTCTTATAGTCAGAATTTTTATTCACACACCCTTGCCTTTATTCCGCTCATAAATACTTTTTCTTAGTAAAGATTCAGCGGATATAAAATGGTTAATGTTGTTCTGGCCGATAAACATTTTACATTCACAAAGTCGGAATTTTTTGTATTTGCACACCTTTGTAATTATTCCGCTTGAAATATAAATAATTTCACAGAGTAAAGGTTCACCGGATATGAAATGGTTGAGCGCTGACAGTCAGCTTGAGCAAAGAGCATGGATAAATGCAATCAGACTCATAATGGTTTGTATCTTTATTTCATAATATCTATTTGTCATTCACGAATAAAGGGTTAAGTCTTTTGTTTAAGTCTTTTGTAAGAATGTTTATTGGATAAATATCACGACTTAACATCATCTTGTTATTTGTGATTAAATCGTTTATGTTTCACCGAAAACTTCATGTTTAAAACTTTTAAGCTGAATAAAGTATTTTAGTTCTGTGAAATGTCTTGTTTTTGCCAAAATTAACATGAGCAATACACAAATATATCAACATGACAGTACAGTTATCAATGGCGAAAATCTTTCATTGAACAAGAGCTTGTCAAAATCAAACTTTTCTCTTTAACAATAATCTTTTGGACCGTCGTTTCATTTCATTTAAAAAAATATATAATCCAGGACTGTCACTTTCACGCAGAGTTTATCAACGCCTTTTGCTATTCTGTAGATAGCTACTTCAGTACCAAAAACTTTCATTTAATATTGTATACCATCCCTTCCTGTAGTTTTTTTTCTCAATCTTGATTGGGCTTGAATAATATTCAATGAGAAATCTAACAACACAATAATAACAGCAAAACGGTATCCCAAAAATATACTTAATTATAGGCCTTAAAATTACAGAATATATTCCAGCTTTATCCTCGGCCCATATTTAATTCATCAAATATTTCTTGACCCGTTTTACCAACTTATATCTTAATTTTGTTTTCGAATAAAGTAATACCAGTTGTGCATCCTTCACATAAATATTAATTAATTGATTAAAAAAAAATTAACTATTAATTATTAATTAATTTCTTATGTTTGCGAAACAGAACGGAAACAGATTTCACGAATGTTACGTCAACGCCAGGCGGAGAGGTGCGACAGTATTTTCAAGACTGAGGTCTTCAGCTCCAGTAAGTATATCAAAGCCATTGAATTTTAACGTAAAGCACCAATAGTCTGTCTCATTTATTTAAATGTATATCCAGCCATGCTGTCTGGATCGTGAACTGCTATTGCAAAATAGTTGTGATTGAGAGCGCTTGATGGAACATATGTAATGAACCTTAATCTGCTTTATTGCTTATCCTAGGTTTTAGCTCATAAGTAGTTTCGTCAATATCTGGACAACGCCTGGATTTTATTTTGTTTAAGATTTTGATTTTCCAAGTATTTTTTGTTTTTGATAAAATTATTGGAAAGAATTATTGACATTTGAATTTGGGTAAGCTGAGATTAATATTTAACGATTCCAAGTTGATGGTGGAAAAACCTAAACAAATAAATTAGAAAATGACTTTTGATGATCACGATTTTGACAGTTTACTTAAATATCTCACAGCTGTGAATGACTAGAGCAACTCTCCAACAGTCATAATGTAATTTGTCATTGAATAAATTTCTCCTATTACAGAAAATATGTGATGAATTCTTGTTCTATTCTTACAAATACAACTTCGAATAAGTGCTCAACTTTGCAATTTGTAATTATACAAGTTGCAATACACATTTAAATGAAGCTTGCTTCCAGTAGACTATTATAACTCAAACATACAGTGTGTGTTCATTGGCTATTCGAACTCGATCAAATAAAAATCACATGGTGGCGCAATTTTATAATCAGCGAAATTTGGTGCAAAACAATAGAGTGTACCTGTTATGTTGTTGTTGGACTAAGGGAATCAAGGAAAATCGGAAACTAATTAACAGTACTGGTAATTCTCATTAGGAGACTCTTCAATCTTGAACTGCTGAAAATTAGGATGCAATTGGTTGAAAAGTTTTGGGATTTTTTTGTCCAAACAGCAATATAGAAAAATGATATGTCTAAAAATATTCCAAGGCATCTTACTTAAATGATACAATATATGGTTTGTTTGTACTATGAGTTCCATGAGCATGCAGTTTACATTCCTCACGATCTTGCATTAACTTATAATAATTTGTATTGGTTTTCTTTTTCATGCAATTTTTTTTATTTTCAGTTAAGTTCATCTGAAAATAACCTGGTCGCAATGGATTTCAGTGGAAATCAGGGAAGAGTCATCAGTGATCCAAGTGAACTCGCAATGATGGAACTTGAACAACAAACATCATGGAGAAGGAAGATAATAAGATCACATGCTCATGTTGGGTCATGTCATGCAGGTAGCAATTAATTTTTGTAACAGGTTTCATTAAACTTGTATCTACAATAGGGATGGAAAAGTGTCTTGCAACTATGGGTACAAATAATAGGATACAAGATGGCCGATATGGCATGAGAAATAATTCAGTTATCGAAAAAGCAAAACTAAATTTAAACATTAATTTCTCAGATATGAATGGAAGTTCTGCACCTACTCAGCAGATGGCTTGGATTGCCCGATGTAAGTTCTGCATTGTTTGTATTCAACCTTGTTTTTTTATTTTATTTATCGTTTATTGTAAGCTATAGCTCAGACTATGGGTGAACTCAAGATATTGGGTATTTTACTACTCTGCGAAAATTAATTTTTCATGTGGCCAAGCTTGATGTCCGAAGTTGGTTATATGGCCCGTCAACAAAAAATGTTTACATGATTCCATCCATAATATTTCATCACTTTTCATTGTATAATATTGATATTTACTCCTTCCAGCAATACATCAGACACAACCATGGTTTTATGGCAAAATATCAAGAGAAGATGCTGCAGAAGTTCTTCATAGACAAGGACTCATAGAAGGGTGAGAAAGATTTTTGTGTCTTCATCAAACTCGAACAAAAATTCAGTCTGAAGTGTTGTATGGATATGGACATCCCTATGTGACACTCGTTATAATTTTTATCATTTTTCACTGTTCTAATATTAGTCGATGCTGATATGTTTTAATAATTCTTTAACAAACTCATCTTGATTCAAATCTAATATTCAATGATTTGTTTCAGGTCATACTTAGTTCGGGACAGTCATCGTATACCAGGAGGTTTTGTTATAACCTTGTGCCATAACCAGAAAATAAAGCACATCGCTGTTAGCCAGGTAAGACAATTTAAGTTGTCTGTATTAATTTATTAGACAACATATATTGCAGTTTCATGTAAGCTTGTCAAATGTGGATTCACAAGCCCACATTCCTATAGGTATTAAATCATTGAAATTATCTTTTTCATGAAAAAGTAGATATCAAGAGTCTATCTTGTTCACAGGTCTTCAGTTTAGGTATCAATAATGGTAAGAATGGTGCGAAAATGGGAATTGTGATCATTTATTTTTTGATTTTACTAATTTCTGAATTTTTTTCAAATTAGATTTTTTTTCTTGTATAGTCACTTATTATATAGATAGAATAGGTTTTTCAATGTGTTTTATGTGTAAATATGCTCCCGTCTTTTATATTTTCATCTTCACCATCATTCATTCCTGGGTTACTAATAATTTATTAAAAAAAAAATTATCAAACCTGAGTCGTAGTTCAAAGCTTGATGAAGCTGGTTGGTTGATACTCTAGTACAGGGGTGTGCAACCTACGGGTGTGCAAGAAAAAATAGTGCGGCTCGCCAATAAGTGCCAATTTGGAAACGAGTTTTTGGTACTCCTGAAGTATGCGCACCAAGATGTCGCAGAACCTGAACCCTTACCTGGTACACAACCTTAGTTCAGGTTGTGCGCCATCTTGGTGCGCATACTTCAGGAGGTCTGAGTTTTTACTTTAGTTTAATCTGGAACGTGCGAGTGATTCCAATCCCTTTGCAGTGCAAAGTTCAATTTATGCATATGACGTTACAATGCCCGAAGCTAGCTTGTGCGAAGTGAACAACGCATGTCATAGGATCAATAACCAAAATTTTTGTGCATGCAACTACTAGAAAGCCTATGTTAAAAAAGGTACTTGTATCTGGCCCTCATGTATTAAAAGTTGCACACTCCAGCTCTGGTACACAAAAATTTTCTTGGGTATTGAAATCTTTGTTACGTTATATAAAAAAATTGTTAAATATATTGCAGTTTCTTGATCTTTCTATTATTTTTAGATTGAAGTGGACGGACAGTGGTGCTTCTCACTCGATAATGGTGAAACAAGGTTTGCAGATCTTATTCAACTCATTGATTTTCATAGACTGAACAGAGGTACTTTACCATGTCAGTTACAGCATGAAGCAATATCAAGTTATTCATAGTGAAAATCTCAGAACATTTTTTCACTCTTTTTTTTAACTTCTTTACCAAAAATGAAATTTTAGTTTATGATGTGAAGAGTATCCACCATATGCCTGCGCACGACAGCCCCACCCAATTTTTTAGCCTATTTTCTTTCTTTAATCTGCCAATTGGTGCTTTCATTATTACTTTTATTGTTTCTTTGAAATGTTGATTTTTACATTGACTTTAGTTTGTCCATGATCGGCGGAAAAGCAAGGTTTCTAATACTAACTAATAGGGATTTAGATAAGCCTTACATATCCATTTGCTGTGTTTTGGTACAGTGTTGTAATAATTTTTTTTACCATATATGGGTGTAGAAGTCACTCAACTAATTTGGCTTTGAAATCTGAGATTAAGTGTGTGATGCTATTTTGTATAACCACTGTTGATATAGTTACTGAAATGAAATCAAAAAACTTGTTTCAACCGGAATTTAAGGTTATTTAGGCATAATTTTTAATTATTCATGTAAAACTAACTAAAAGTAATCAATTCAATTTCACGGCCTGAGATATTTAAGTGGATGTGAAATTCCAACATATACTCAATGAATTTGAATTGAGAATTTTATATACTCGTCTGAGAAATGTGACTTTTGAAACTTGGAAAATACTGCATTACCTAATACTTTTTGCGTTATTCAGCATGTATTTGTGTGTCCTATGTCTTTTATTTTGTCTCCCGGAACAAAAACAAACACTGCCAAATCAGTAATAAAATAAAATCAGTTTGTGGGATGATTTTCAATATGTTGTTTGGTAACATCTGTATTGTTTTCAAATTAATAGAACCAATAGCGCACAAAGTTTAAATTTGTACTGTGCAGAACAAATGGCTGATTGTTTCCATACCTGGCGTGGACTAGAAGCCATGGTTTACTTTGCTATTAAGCTATCTTATCTATCCTCAGAGATAAATTTGAAAATGCTATCCCACTAGTATGTTTCGATTGATGCTTCAGATAAATGCGTTCCTCGAATGAGTGTTCAGAACATTCCACATTGAAGGTGTTTTGACTCCATACAGATTGTTTTCTAAGCTTTTCATCCTTTTTTTAAAAGTTCAATGCCAGTAAGCCTAATGTGGGCTTTGTAGTGCACAATGCACATATATCAAATAAACTACCTATTGTTTTATAGTTATTGCTTTTTAGGTGAATCCAAATTTGTGAATATATGTAGTGTTTGAAGAATAATTTAGTTTTAAGATTTTTTTTCTCAAATCAGTGTAAATTTGTTATCAACTCAAAACTGTAAGTACAACTCAGGAATGTTAAATGAAAGTATAAGGGCTTTTCTTGGCTGAAGTATGCGCACCAAGATGTCGCATAACCTGAACCCTTACCTGGTACACAACCTGAGTTTAGGTTGTGTGCCATCTTGGTGCACATACTTCAGGAGGTCCCTTTTCTTGACTTCAGTTTATTGTCTGTAAATTGGAATTGGTGGAAATATGTAGCCTCAGGCCAGTGGTTTGCATCCGAGGTTCCGGATCATTTTGTTTTCCAATTTTGGCTTTAGATAAATTTTGAGTATTTAAATTTATTCCAATGGTATTTTTTTTCATAAGACACTTCAACTATAGGGTTCTTCTGAGTCTCTGGAATATTTTATCGGTCTCCGCTACCCAAAAAAAATTGAAAACTACTGCTCTAGGTCTATTTTAATCAGAAATTGATAACTGAATGCAATAACTCACGAAGAAACTCTTCAGAAAAATGTAAATGATTCTTACATTTCATTTGGTTGTACCATATTTGGATTTATTGAAATATTTCCTGCCATGGATACTTTCACAAATACCGGTAGATATGATCTATTTTGCATATCCGAGCTGTATTTACAACACCTTTTATGGCACGTACAAAATGCTTTTGCTCGACATAAACTTAATGATCAACTAAATATAAATAGCAATTGAACTGTTAATGCTTGGAAAGAAGAAAACTCAAGAACATGAATTCCCCCAGATAGTCAATAAACAACAATCTGCTATCAATTGCGATGGCAAACGCTGTGATTAGATTTAAATACCAACAATAACCAGTGATGGGATAAAAGACGGTAATTTTAACTTCAAATGATATTGTGGCCTTTTTATTTACTTTCTTTCAGTGTTATTTTGCTTTATCTTGTGACATTAACGTGTGGTGACCCCAACGCACTCTGCTGTACAGATTTAATATATTTCTTTATTTATTTGTACTTCTTCGCCTTATCATCTGTTGCTTTATTATGTGGCGAACTGACCATTTATAAAAATTTATGATGGAAATATGTTTATTTGTCTGTCAAAAGTACTTGAGTTATAGGCAAATGTTGTTTTCCACCTGGAAAATGCTAGTTATGCATATGACGACCCACAGACTTAATAGTTGCAGTGAGGCGGATCTATGTTGTGGGATTATGCTAAACATAATTTGTTTGCCAGAGTGAAGAGTAGGATTTGATATATCCTTTCTCATCTCGAAGAATAGGAAAAAAAAATGATGGAACCGCTCTCACTATACCTCCAGTATCCTATCCTGCAAAAGCAACGCTAGAGTCGCCATCGTTCGGTTGAGTTTATCGAATGCAGAATCTGGGTTTAATATTTTTTTACTAATCACGCAGCAGAGGAAGTACATATAAAACGAAAATGTGCCTGTCTCTGCTGCAACCTGATTTATTCGGAAGTATATTGCAGACAGTCCCAGTGTCTGGCAAGACCAATATCTCTCAACACACCATCCACCACGTTACTACCACAAAATATGAACTTTTTTTCTCAACAATTTATGTATACACAACAATGATAAATAATTATGATAGAATTTAATGATCAAATAGCATCCTATTTTGCAGTTTACAAACCTATTGCTGCACTCAATGTATTAGCGAATGTAATCATTAAATTGAGTGCACAGTTCGCCTAGACCTAGACGAATCTAAACACAACGGTCCTAATAACTATTGAGTTGCAGATGAATAGAAAACAACAATTAACGATAACATTAGAGAATAATTGATATGAAATAATGTAAAGTAAACACTAGGGAATTTTAGCTCAAAATATTGAATTTCAAATTATTAAAAGCTTCGGCATCTTAGATAATATTGGCATCAAGTTGAAAATGATAGAAGACAATTGCACAAAGTTAGCTAGGATATTTTGCTCGGTGGACTGCATAACAATCGAATGAATCAATCTTTAGTAACATTAAAACTCATTGTAAAATCATCTCCTAGCCCACAATCTATCACATCATTTGCATGTACAGGTCCCACACCTTCAGGTGTGCCAGTTAAGATAAGATCCCCACTTTCAAGACTAATGTGCTGACTTATGTAGCTAATGAGAAAAGGTATATTGAATATCATATCAGAAGTATTGCCTTTTTGTTTTTCAAGTCCATTCACTTTCAACCAAATATCTAAATTGTGAGGATCCTTCAAGTCTTCTTTAGGAATAAAGTTTCCAATTGGGCATGAAGTATCAAATCCTTTTGCCATTGTCCATGGCCAGCCTTTTGATTTAGCAACTGATTGCCAATCTCTTGCTGTCATGTCAAGGGCTAGTACATAGCCAGCAACATGTTCCATTGCATTGTTTTCTGTTACTTTTGTTCCCGGTTTTCCGATCACAATTCCAAGTTCAACTTCATGGTGGACTTCCTCACATCCTTTTGGTATGACAATACTGTTGCCTTCTTTGAGATATGCTGATGTTGGTTTAGTGAAGATCAATGGCTGTTTTGGTAAAGGGTTTTTCAACTCTAAGCAATGTTCACGATAATTTCGGCCCACACATAATATCTTTCTACCCCATTCCCAAAACCTGGATATTGCCTGTTGTGTCATTATGATGGTCACACAGCACTTTTATTAACTGATATATGGAATTTTTATTTATTTCTGAATAGACAATAAACTTTATTCTAGCAACAGAAAATTTAACATAAACATATTTCCTATACTCTTTTCTGATAATCAAAAGTGTAACACATTGTCTTGGCTTGTTACATGAAATTTAAAAATAATATGGTGATAACACACTAATACATTTACAAATGAAGCCACACACAGAATTAGCTATTTTTGACCAGCTGAAATAGAATGAAAAACACAAATGTATGGCAGTAGTAATCAGGATAGAGACTTTGAATAATTTTTTGAAAACTCAAAAATGGATCATGGTGTTATAATTTCATTTTTCAAGGTTTGAAATTCAACTTCACTTACAATGTTTAGTTTGGTACTATTAGCAGCTGTGATTAATTTATAGTTGCATAGTGAACAGTTAGGTCCTGTTACCCAATGAGGAAAATTATTATTTCTCTATATATTCCAAAAACACATGAATACTGACAGTTTCATGAACTTGCGATTGGTAATTTCATAAAACAGATAATTCAGTACTGAAACTGTATGCTGTAAGCAAAATACATTATGATGCCGTCCAATAATAGAACTAACTTTATAAATTTTACATAAAGAGTATCTATTTATAACATATTCATCATTAAATTTACTACGTAATGACCAAGGTTAAATTGATATTTTGAAAATCTGCCAACACATACGAAAATGTAAGAAACATCAGTATCACAAATGAATGTGTAATAGACATTGCTTATAGCATGGACCACAAATAAGAGATAAATATCTCTAACTGGTATTTTTTCAATTTTCCACATGTTCAACATGAATAAAATTTGGCATGTGTAAGTAAATAGCACCATAGTCGTAATAGTTTTGTTTCATACGCACAGAATTACAATGAAAATAAATTGCACAATATATCATGCAAATACACTTGAACATTGCTGAAAAACCTGGATCTGCACAATTTATTCGCAAACATATATCTCATAATACTATAATATTCATTTAAATAAAGTCACCGTCACAAAAATCAGCAAACGTTAATATCATAAGAAAATATTCATAATCTTTCAGTACTCTACGCCAGGCCTGCACAACGTACAGGGCGCATGTGGCCCGCGAGAGCTTTTAATGCTGCCCACGGGATGATTTGAAAAATTCACTCATGCAGACAAAAATATAAGCGATCGGTGCTATAGAACAATTATATATAAGCTAATTCCAGATAAATTGCTATAAATTCTAGCATTTTTAAACAAAACCGCAATGACCGAAAAAAAAGATTGGAAACGGACAAATTAATAAAACAAGCGATTGAATGAATAGTTAGTTGTCGCTGGCAAAAGATGGTTGTGTCGAATTGAGCATGTGTTACGCCGGTGTCTATACTATATATTACGAAAAATATGACTTGATATAAGTTATACGTTAACAATGACAACTCGCGGTCCATACAGAACTGTTTTTGTACGTCCCGGCACTTTCATTCATTTGAGTTGTGCAACATCAACAATTGAGAAATATAACTACGGCTTAATAATGCAGACACCACAAAAAAGTACTAACACTCTACAGTTTCATCAAAGAAACCAAAAACACCCATTGTTTATAAGCCACCTCAACCAAACATCAAGCGATACAAGTCAAAAAAGAGAAGGTTTTTAATAAATAACTACAGACTACATATGTCCGAACAATTTATTCAAGTGAAACATGAATTTAATACTATTCCAAAATGACTTGGCAGTATCTCTATTAGGTTTTTCTTTATCTGTGAAATATGTAAGTTATTGCACTAAAATCATTATTTATGTTAAATTCTACAGGAAAAAATTTAACAAATCCTATTATATTCATGTAGGCTGTAAAACAAACCTGTTTAGAATATATAAATTGAAGGTAACTGCAAGTAGATTACAGAAAATTAACCTATTTTAAATATGGACATTCCCATCATTGACTTGATCCCAACAGAAAATGCCGTCTATTTATAAATAGACGATATATATATAGCCTTGGGCAGTTACATTATGAAAATAAAGTTGGCATGAATTTTCCTAAAGTTTTCTGGACTTGACATACTAGTGATTTTATCAAATTTCATAATAATCTCACTTTGGAAGCTCAAAACAAGCACATCTGTTGTGTAGACTGTGTTATGTTGGGTCAAAAAAATTCAATAAAGCATCAATGTCATCACATTTATATTATCGCTTTTGCTTTTGTTGGACTCTTTCAGCTAATTGTTTGTACCTTGCAACACAATCTTCTTTCGTTTTAGAAGGTATACACTTAGCAATACATTCCCATCTAGCAGGAGTTCCTTTTGGGAACTGCCTTAACGCCATTTCTAACAACTTTTGTTGAGAGGAATCCCAATCGTCTGTGATATTATTCTGTTCAATTGCATCATGTCGAATGGTCACCATTTCATCGAAAGCGTTCGGATCCACTTTGTTCGAAACTTTGATTTTTTGTCTCGATATAGTATTTTCAGAGCCTATGTTATTCTTTATTTTTTTGGCTCTTTTTATCACTTCATCGACTGGTTTATCCATATCATCAGCTATCGAATGCCACCTTTGTGACGACCCTGCTGGATATTTTGACATCATTTTTACAAGAGTTGATTCATCTTCAATTGTCCATTCATTTTTCCTGGCTGTTTTCTGTTTATTTTCCTCATCAGAGCTTCCATACATTTGCTCTAATTCTTCCAATGTTCCTTCATTTTCGAAAGGTGAATAAAAGTTGCCTTCTTCTTTTAAAGATGTTTGAACATATTGTAACATTTTTTCTTTCTTTTCTTTAGCTTTCTGTTTACGAAGAACTTTCTGTTCTTCCCTTCGTGCTTGTTCTTGTATTTTCATCTCTTCCTCTTCTTTTTCTTCTTGTTTCCTTAGCTCTTCTTCTTCTTTAAGAAGTTTTGCCTCCTCACGCTTGTGCCGAACAAACTCTGGAACCCATTTACAGAATCTATATAACCCACGACCAATTGCAATAGGCAAAATATCTAACAAATGAGGCTTTTTCAACTGATTAATCAATTCAGTATCAGGTTGTGTTGAATCTTTGTCAGCTTTCTTCTTTCCCTTTTGTTTCTTTTTTCTGATACGAGGTATATATTCTTCTAACACTAGTCTTTGTTCAACGTATGAACCCCACATAAACAAGTAATGTCCAATGGTAAAAATAAGGGCAATGATAATTGAAACCTCAAGCATACCCATTTTTCTCATTGGTTTCGGGACATATAAATAGGCAGCATATGATGATGGGATGCCATCGCTAAGAACATTATCATAAATTTGTCTTTTTTCCTTATTCTTAAGAACTTCATAAATGGCAGCAAGTTGTCTGAAATTTTCAGCAGCACCCTCAGTTGTATTTTTATCAGGATGCATTGTCAAAGATAGTTTTCTGTATGCTCGTCGAACTTCACTTGTCGAGCTGCCTTGATCCAATTCCATAAACGAATAGAAGTTGGTCTTCAATTCAGAAACCAAATCCCAAACTGCCATTTCGTCATCACTCCATCCCCAGTCAGCAGATGCAGCACAAAATAACAATGATATCAAGAGTATTCGCAGCATATTGTCGATTGAATTTTGGTAGGTGATACTAATTAAGTCAAAAAATCTGAATTGAAAAAAACAAGATGACTTATTTCTGATTGCTATTAGATTTGTTGAATTCATAAATTACACATAATACTGTAATAGGCCTTGATTATTGATACCAGAGAAAATAAAAGGCAGTAGAGCTTACCAATGGAATTAACCTATCAGAAAAAAGTTTTTGTTGGTTAAAACAGTAAAAAGAATTAAGACTTTTAAAAACGAATTGTCAAAATAGTCTACATCCCAAAAAATTAAACTGCACCCCTTTCCAACATATTTTTATTACTTTAAACACCAATCAATCTGAGATTCAACAGGACATGTTTTTTCCATTTCATTACAGTATTCAATCAGATTTTCTGTTACGATATTAGGCATATGAAAACACTATTTGTATGGGAAACAATTTCAGTTTGGTAGTCCCACTCATAGAAAATTGTATTTTTTGGTTCACTAAAAAATAAAATTATCTTACACTTTGTGGCTGTTGATCGAAATGTATCTGCATAACTATTTTATATTGATCTTATCATCTCAGTGACTAACAATTTTAATTTAATATACCCCTTGACAAATTCGAATTGGACCTCTGTCATATATACGGTAAAGAGTCTGCCACATTAACATTCTGGTATTGTGCAATCTCTCTAATCTGCTAATAGCAAAAAATACATGAAATAGCAATAGTAAGACCAACTACTTACAGACTTAAGTATGTACTTGTTAATTGTTACACCCAGTGTTTATACATTATCCTACATATCTACGAGGCTATTGTTGGTTTTGGCATTCAGACATTGCGCACAGTTTCGAACAGAACCTCACAACAATTTCAAATGTACATATTGCATTCGTATATAATATATTTAACATGAGCTAGTAATCTATCTACAGCAGTAAGCGCTGTACCGGCTATTATTATCTTAGGCTCTAGTTCACCTTCCAACGTAGTCCGGTTTAGTTATCACACACTTTGATCGTTTAAAGCGACGTCCTCAGAGATTGGGTTCTGACGTTCATCAAGTCCCTTGGGATAGGTCCTTCGCATAGCAACACGTTTGGATTAGGTGTTTTTATTATCAGGAACCCTGCCTTTCTAAGCGCAGCTGGCTTAACTGAAATTTCCACCCGTTTTCCTCGAACCTTGTATTTCGGTTTTCTGCTGAGATGAATATACTTTCGTCCTCGCGATTCCAACCCAATTTGCCATATAGAGTTTAGGTTTTCCACGCGCGTCACATGATATAGTGTTTCATTACCAGTATATTCATTGTATTGTGGCGTCGTTCCCCGCGTGTGCCCATAAGCTGCTGCTAGCCCATCCTTAGTTACAATAGCCCTTTCGCTATCTCGCATTACCTCTTGGATGTACATTACGTCGCAGTTAATGCCACTCTGTTCCTGTAGTACTTCCTGTAAATGCTGCCAAGAATGAAAACCTTCCTTTGCGACAGGACAATCTGTATGTCTGCAATGAGCTATCAAGACGCGTTGAATTTTTTCTTTTTTCTCTCGTGCAGCGAGCTTCTCCCCTTCTTTTTTCGTTGTCGTTTCAGGTATGGCCCACGCGCCAGTTTCTTTGGGCGTGAATGCCATCTCAAGCCAGAACGAACGAGACAAACCATCTGACGTAAATACCTCCCTTGTAGTTCGATGTATTACTTTAGTTATTTGGAACCCAGATATATGATTCAGCCAGCGTTGAATTAGCATGCGCGGGCTGGGGTTTTTTGCATTGTCTTTCATTCGCTTTAGCAAGCCAAAAACTCCCATGTTATCTGTTATAACTGTAAAGGGCATAGTGTGTAAGATCGATAGCCACTTATCCAAAGTTTGTTTTAGGGCCTTAAGTTCCTTCGTGCAGGGATCGTATGCCCTTGCCGCAGGCGTATTCCACTTCTGGCTGTAGTATGCTATTGGGTAGACTGAGGTAAAGGGCGGTTCTTCTTCTTTGTTTGTTTGAAATATAATTGCTCCAAACCCGTTTTCGGAGGCATCTGTTTCCACAAACAACGGGAGATCAGGATTTATGTGATACAAGACCTCCGCGCTATTCAGCTGCTCTCTAGCGACTTTATAATCTTCCAATAGTTCTTTAGTCCATAACACTGGTGTAACCCTTCCGCGCGTAGCCGGAACGTTTCCCGTTAGAGCATCAAATTTTGCCAGTTTTAAGCTAAGTTTCGGGATATGATCTGCAATGTAGCGTAGGGCTCCAATCCAACCCCTTAATTCGTATACATTACGCGGCGGAGTCAATTCTTTCAAGGCCCTCAATCGTTCTGGTTGTACTTCTATTTTCTTACCGCTCAATGTCGCACCAAGTAGATTAATTCGTCTTTTTCCGATAAAACATTTGTTTATGCTGAGCGTTAATTTCATTTTAGCTAATTGTTCAAAGGTTATTTGAAGCAGTATTAGATGATCCTCCACAGTTTTGGTACTCAGAAATATATCGTCAATGTATGCTTCTATAGGTGAGGCCTTTACCTCGTCAAGCCGCTTGCAATTATTCATGTGTTTTCGATATAGAGCTGTAATAGGTTCTACGACGCAAGCTTGCATATTAGCTGAGAAGAGGGCCACGGCGGTCTTAAGTCCCATCGGGAGTTTTCGCCAGCGTAGATGTTGACCTTTGACCGCTATGCCCAAAAAGGTCCTACTGTCTTCAACTACATCACAATGAAAGTATGCCTTTTTTAAATCAAGGAGTGACAAGACCTCTCTTCCTTGCGCCATTTGCTTAATATCGGGGATTAACGCTGGGGCGATTTCAATAGATTTGATGGCAGCATTCAATGGTTGGAGATTTTGCACCACCCTCCATGATTGTTGCCAGCCAGTTTCTTGCTTTTGTCGTTCGTTCATTTTTTGCGGTAACCACAAATATTGCCAATTTCCATTCCGCAAATCCAGTCTCTATTACTCCGAGATCTAGAAAGTTTTTTACGGCTTCTTCGAGAGCTTCTGATTGTTCTTTTCCTCTCAGGTTGTATGGTCCTGAGACAAAGGGTTTTACAGTGGGATCTTTTAGTTCGATGTGACACGGATATTTCAGTTCTTGTTTAGACGATAAATGACCCCTCAGATCTTCCAACTCTTTGGCATAAGGTTGATACACTTGCCTCCATTCTTTTTTCTGTTATTAACTGGTGTTTTCTGGTGAATTGAGTTCAGGCGGGACGTAAGTTTCCCCAGCAAGAGCTATCGCTTCGTCGCTGAGCTTCTGCAGTTCGCTTTTTACTTTGTGCGGTGTTCCCTTTTTCAACACGTATTCGTTCACTGGTCCTTTCATGACAACTCTTTCGTTTGATATAGGTATGACGGATGATTTTCTTGCACTTCGTGCTTCACCCCGGGGGTCCGAATCTGGCTTTCTACTAGCTCGTTCGGATTTTTGACCCCTGAAACTTCGTTCTCGGTCATTAGTGTTTCGCAAGCCAATACCACTGTTAGGCCTTGCGCGCTGTTTCCCCGCCTCGGTACATTCCAGAGGATCGTCACCCTCTGGTTCACCGGCTGTCATAACTAAATTGCTCATACATGACGATGGATTGTTCATCTCCGTGACCATCGTCGTTAAGGCTTGCACCGGTCCCAACCATTTGAACCCAATTATGTTTAATGGTATGCCCTGTCCCGTTGCAAATGGAACTTTGAGCTCTCCCATGTTTATAATCATCAAGGAATTAATTTGGCAAGTTCCTCCTATTCCCCTTACATTCACTGTAAAAGGTTGACGGTTTTTCCAACTATTGGGATAAGATTTTTCGGCGGTTTGCCTTGTCATTAAGTTAGGCAAACTACCGTGTCTGCAAGGAACATAGTTCCAGTTTTGATATCCCTTAAATACATCAATTCACCTCCAAATACATCGGTAAGGCTTATACCGTCAGTTTTTTCCGGTTTCCCCAAAAGGTGAATAGAGGTAAGGTTTCATTGTTTATGATTTTTCATATTTACAAGGTACCACTTTATCCGGAAGTTGCCGCACCGGATCAGACAACTTCCGTACTAGTTTAAAGATGAGTTTAGTCCTTGTTGCATATCATGTTCAGTCCAACCATGTTGGACATAATAGCAAGGAGCTGTTTTAGTTTGGGTAAGTGGCAAGTTCCAATGCGTCCTATTCTGCCAATGAGTTTTATCTCGGCTTTTGGTCTAAATCCGAAGTATAGCTCACACAGATTTGCCCTTTTTTCTAATGTTGGGGACCCTTGAGATATGAGGTATTTGTTAGGTCATCAATGTCGCGCAATGGAAGTGCTAAAGGATTATTGCCGCCTAGGAAATCGGACCATTTTTCCTTGCATTCTCGTCGCAAATTGTCTGGCAGTTTTCTTGTTCGCGGCTTGATTACCCAACTTCCCTGTTCATCCTTTCCCAGGACCTTATCCGTGACCCACAATATAGCTTTAACCAGACACGAGCTTGAAATGTGACCAGGACTTTTACACAAGTAGCAGACTGATAAAGATTGACCATTTTCAGGTGAAATGTACAGTCCTAAATGGTTCAAAGATGTTGGACTGACTCAAGAAATTGTATGGCTCACCTTGTGTTTCCGCTATTCTTGCGGCTTCGCCTATGCTACTTGGAGTTGTTTCTTGTTGGGTTAACTGCTGGCGTTGAGGAGAAATTTGTTGCTCTGATGTCTCTTCGCGAGGTGGCGTGTTATCGTGGATTCCGCGTAACGCTTCTTTCGCTTCCACGGCTTGGGCTTTTCTTTCGCTTTTCTTGGTAAGAGTGGCTCTCTCACGTAGATTAGGTGCTTCAATTGCTCCTTGTCGTTTGGCCACCCGAAAACACCTGGAGGGTTCATCATTCTATTACTTAATAATTGATTACTTTGGACATCAGTGGGGAAACTCTTTAGTAGACCCAACGTATGCGTGCAAAAGCCTTTTGTTACCTTCTTCATAGGGTGTTTGGCGCAATGTTTTTCCATCGCCGGCTGGATATTATATACGTTTACCGGAGGTGGTGTATATGTTGTTGTAGTGGCTGGCATCGAGTTACTGGATACG